TTGCTATTTATATATAACATTGCAAACTTTATCTGTTTGTAACTGTTTGTTATTACCTCCCATAGTTATTTATCATCTCCCACAGTTACATATATACCACTTTAAAATTAAAATGTATGATTATTTTTTAATTCTTACGCACTTTAAAACAAATAAGTTCAGAACTTTTAAGAATGACTCGATGACATAGAATCCAGAGGATTATCACCTGCCACGCTTTTCAGAATTCAACAAAAAAAGTTTTATTTTTCTGTAATACAATGTGATAAATCCGACTATTAAGTATATTTATAACAATTATTTGTTTTTCTTACAAAATACCAATGTCTTTTTTGTAAAGTAAAGTTTTAAAGCTCCTTCAAATATTCCACCGGATTAATACATATTTCAACTATTTTTTACGTAGTATGAGATTAATAGATGCGTGTTTTTTCTAGAGATTTCAGCTAGATTGATCCACAGCTTTCAGAATTTGAACAACTTTTACATTAAATAAAAACACAACTAAGTTTTATCAATAATAATGATATCTACTCTCCAGAGAGCTTTATTATCATCAATGAATACTGATAAGCATTCCATGTTAGGAGTTCATGATGATAAAAGAGAAAGATCGTCTTCTAAACGCCTCGTTGTTCAACGCTTTTCATGTCTGACTTTGGAAGACAAGTTTGAAGAAGAAATCCAATCAGTTTATTATAAATATAAAAGCAAGGACGTTTTTGATTTAAGTCTAGAATTGTTTAATCGAAGTCACGCAAAACTTATTGATGGAGTATGGACAGCAAATTTTATTTTCCTCGAATGCAAGGGTGCGGTTAAAGTAACGCAAAGAGCTTGTAGCTTGTGTGAAGACGCAAATAAACCATCTACACAAACTGATTTATATTATGTAAACATGGCTGAAATATGCAAAGATCGTACTGTTTTGTGCCAAGGATGCATTTCAAGAGTAGTATTTAACTATTGTGGGCATTTTAATATTTCCAATAAAACAAAACTTGAGCTCTTACGTAAAAAACAAAAAAATGGAATAATTATTCCATTGCCATCCTGGTAAATAAACATTCTGTTGCCATCCTGGTTAACTAGTATTCATTTATGAAAATGTTGTTGGTTCAATATGATACGGATAAGTTATTTTTTTTCTTAAAAAAGTTGTAAATAACGCTTAGAGCTATATTAATATATTAATTTTACGTTTACATTTTAAACGCTTAACGTTGCTCTTAAATTTTTTAATGTTGCGCTTTAAATAACAATTAATGTTACATTTTATAAATATAGTGAAACAGTCTAAGTACTAAGTACTAAATAGTTTATACTTTTTTTAAATGGATTTTAAATTTTGTTTTTGTCAAAATTTTGTTTTTTACAAAGTGTAAAAGATTTAATATTGTACGAAAGGTTTCTATAACGGGTTTAAGAAAATAAAAAAAGTTAAATCAATTTCTGTCATTTTTTCTTTTAATTTTTGTTTTATTTTGAAACAACTTATGATGACGTACACAGTTGTGACTGCCAGCTCTAGTGCCCCTTCGTCATAAAAAAACATAAAAAACAAAAACAAAAAAAAAACGTGACAAATAACTTCAACTACAACAATTTCCCATTTCTCAGTCTTCTAAGTCTATCTAGTTGAAAAAAATTTTAAAATTTCGTTTTTCAACATAACCTTTGAAAAATGTTGCTTACCCAGATAACAAATTAACGTTGGCCTGATGTCTTGCCGACATCTTTTATATCAATATTCGGTATCTTTATACTTCATCGGGCCGATGTCATCGGGCTGCATAAACAAATTAAACCAATAAATGTTCAATTGGCAATCAAAATCGCTATTGTAAAAAAATGAAATATTACTTGATGTCATGAGCCAAAAAAATGCTTTGGAAATATGATTGTACTATAATTGGTGGTTACTGGGATAAGTCCCTAAATCAGGTTACACCGTCCGTGGAAGAAAATCCATTTTTAAATTTCGAATGAAACCAAATTAAATACATAGTTGAAAAGCAACTAACAAAGTTGATTTCAATAATTTTTATTCATCCTAAAAATGTGACAAAAATATTTATCCAGTAAATTCACTGGTAAATACCAATTTTTTGTACAATTTTGAAAAAGTAAAGTTTCAATTCTAACTGCTTTTTTTTTTTGACAAACACGAAACTGTTTTGTAGTATTCTTAAACAATTTTTTTGCTGTTGAAGTCTGTGATTTTTGCAGACTGTCTTCATATTCTGGGTAATTGCTTAGTTTCTTGTACCTTTGCCAATGGTTACTCAAATGATGATGGAGTGCATCATTAGCTTGCTCTGAATAAATTAACAACGAGGTATTGTGGCGTTGGATGAGTTATGGAACATGGTGGATGACAGCATGAACCTTGGGAGTAATGGTGGTGATCTGGAGTTATAAATAAGAGACTCTAAACTGCTCCATTTTTTTTAGAGAGATTGTAGAAGATGATTTATGACACCAAACAATAGATGAAGCTCCATGGGTTAAAGCACATCAAGGACAAAGGATTCATCTGAGGCGTTGATGATGGGTACATGAACAAAGTTTCTGAATGAACTTGCTTTCTTGATGTTAGGACCAGCCATATTGAATTGGCAAGAAGCCGTTTTGATGGCGAAGATTTTAAAATTGAATCATTTTCAATGATTCCAAAGCTTCTTTTTAGAAAACCACCACCATCCACTCCTAGCTTTACAATGTAGTCATCAGAGAGAATTTTTTTATTTTTTAGATTTTAGTAAAAATTATTTGGGCAAAACAAAATTTGCAAAAAAAAAAAAAAAAATCACCAAAGATTCACCACATGGTTAAAACCAAGGAAAAAAACGTTAACCACTACAAAACTAAAGTAGATTTAGAAACTGAATGCGCTATCTTCAGGAAACTTAAAACTGCAGGTTTTGTTACTGAATCTGGTAATAATGATGATAGAATATATTTTATTAGTTTTATTAGTATTGCTGTATTGTGATAACAAACAACCAATAGAATTTATTGATAACCTAACAAGAAGAATGAGATTTGCTCATTTATTAGAATTGAAATGTTTAAGCTGTGGTTGGATTAACTCCAGTTTTACAAGTAAAGAGTGCCACAGTTCTAATCAAAAAACTAAACGTGGTAACTTTTTTTAGGTACTACTAAAAGTCTTTATGGTCTTATTACAGACACCAAGGAAAAGCATTTGAAAGGATGTTTATGCCTCTTTCTTTAAATCGATATTATAAAACCTGCTCAAAGGTGGCGTTGAACCATGGATCTCTAGCTTCTGAGGCAAGCGTACTAACCACTGCGCTACGACTGCTTATTCTTGATCGTTTTTTCGGCCAGTTCTTCATAGTAAAATTTGTATTACAAAATTGTTGTGTGACGATATTGGTATACGTTTCAATAGAAGTAGGATAAATAGTTTTCTAGTTGTCTCTTTGGTCCTATTGTCTCTAAATTGTTGTTCAGTTGTCTCTGAATTTTCGATCATTTACCGGCTCAATCAGGGCTACTTGTGACTTTTAATTTCGAATACACATTTTAAAACAAAAACGTGATGGCGTCAAGCTAGGACTAGTAAATCTCTGCTCATTTTAATTTCTAAAAATGCACAAGCTCTTTTAAATCTCCTTTTATTATATGCAGTTGTGTCAGAGCACATTATTTGCACTTTGTCGAAGAGCTTTGCAGTTTGGAGAACTTATTGTCTACACTTGCTAAACATACTAAATCTTCTGGTTTTCTTTGTATTTGTAAAAAATAATTTATCTTGTTTTATTTTCATCCTTTCAAATTGACTTTATGCCGGCTCAATTTTTTTTAGAGTTTAAATCTGATTGGTGATTTTTGAATTATTTGGTTGCTCAAAATTCCTTATGTTTCAAAAAAACATGGTTCAGATGATTATCGATTGATGTCGTAGCTGAAATAACATTAACTTTAGATAAACGACCTTCAACAACAAGTGACTGCTCTTCAAAACAGTATTTGCAGTACATCTGATTACTATAAAAAATATTTTGATTGCTTGATTTTGGTTAGTTTTTTATGACTAGGTTGCCTATGAACTCTCATACTTTGGTATGAGAGTTCATGGGCAAGCATGTCAGTATTTATAAAAAAGTATTCAAAAGACACCATGCTGTCAAAATATATATAGGAACTAAAAAATAAAAATATTGATGATTTTATACTGAATTGGTCCATCCTTAAAACAGCGCCTGCATACAACAATATTTAAAAACATGCATACGATGTCTACAAGAACTATTTCAAATAATTACACATGCAAACCATGAATGTTTGTTAAACAAAAAATCGGAATTGATTTCTAAATGCAGGCTCGAAAATAAGGTTCTCCTAAAAAACTATAAAAATAAGTGAGCTCAAATAATAGTCACATTAAATCCCCCCTTTTTTAAAAATATTTTTATAAAAAAAAGCATAAGAAATCATTTCTAAAGAATCCTTTTTATAATAGTGTCAGCAAATTCCACAAATGTGTGAAATTTACAGTAGTTAAAACATTTGCGACGTCCTGTAATTTAATTTTTTGGTATAAATTGAAGTTTTATTAATTTGATCATTCATTTCTGATGAGTCTTTGTTGATGAAACACAGTGTAAAATGAAAAAAAATTTTTTTTAGTGATTTTCTACTAATTTATATATATATATATATATATATATATATATATATATATATATATATATATATATATATATATATATATATATATATATATATATATATATATATATATATATATATATATATATATATTTATATATATTTATATACACACATACCGCATATATATAAATGGCATTAAAGTTATTTTCACTTTAAAACGCTAGCCTAGCCATAAAGTCCTACAGATATAGTCCAATTAAATTGAATCTAATGAGTTTAAAAAAGTTGTTGTCACTTTTTTTTTTCCTAAATTTTATAGGGATTTTTGACTAGAGTATAATAATCAACTAAGCATATAAGTAATTTACATATGTATAAATAATTGTATGCATAATTTTTACAAATGAAAACTAAATGAGAATAATAAATGCTTGTGTAATAATTTGTTAATGAAATCTTTAAAAGATCAATTTTGCAGTAGAGAAATTGTAATGAAAGTGTTATTTTTTTCAAAGCTGATTTAAAAAGTATGTAAAAACCCACAGTGAGGACTACAGTCGCTCATTTTCAGCCTTCGTTATGATTTATACATTTCGTCAATAGTTTCTTGGTACATTTTCATGACATGAGGACGACGAAGTTTTTGTGTCGGGCCTAAAAACCAAATTATTTATAACAATATATTTCAATTTTTTTTTACAATATCAACATTATAACTGCTTATTAACATTATTACATTATTAACTTTACTGTTTTTTACAAATGCACTAGTCTTAGTTCTTTTTCAGCATTTATTATTATTGATATTCTTACTATTATTGTTATTTTCATTATTTTATATATATATATATATATATATATATATATATATATATATATATATATATATATATATATATATATATATATATATATATATATATATATATATATATATATATATGTATGTATGTATGTATGTATAGAAACACCATTCTTTACAATTATATCAAATTAAAAAATGGAAAAAAATTTAATTAATCCTTGACTAAAAAAAAGTACTTTAAAGGCAGTGATTCTTTTAGTAAATTCTCATTTCCGGTTAACAGAGAAATCTTGTGTATTCCATTTAGCTTCAAAAACCGAAATTATCTCAAAATTATCTCAAAATTAATTGTATAGAGTTTATTTAAACTCTAACGTGAACACCAATTCAGTTGAAAAGAAAATCACCAATTCAGTTGAAAAGAAAAACACCAATTCAGTTGAAAAGAAAAACACCAATTCAGTTGAAAAGAGGTCATAGAAAAACTAGTTAAAAAATTTTTGAGGAGCAGAAAACTTCAAAAACCGAAAGACACTGAAAGCTGAATTATTTGAAACAACAAATAAAAAAAACAAAAACGATTTGTTATTTGATAAATTTAAACCTATAAAACTTAACTTTTGATTGGTTGCTAAGTTGCTAGTAAACAAGTATTTTAAATTTCATGCAATGTTGTGTCCAAAATAAGAACAAGATTGTATCATCATTCAGTGGACATTTTGTGTTTTTTAAAATCCTATTTCCTCAGGAAAAATTAGTTTATTTCAACTAAATTAGTTGAAATAAATATCGTTTGTAATTTAAAGCTAGTTTTTGAAGTGGTGTGTAATCCATTTTCTTTAAAGTTTTATACCCATTTTATATTTGATATTGATTTTATTTTTTGTGATTTTATACAAATTATATAAAATATTTTGATCTATATAATTTTTTAACAAAAAGTTGAAAAACATTTTTTTCAAAAAGTGATTTTCCATCCCATCAAATAGTTCCAATAAATCTTAGTGGCTATGTTTTTGAAAGTACTCCAACAAAAATTTTATATAGCGAAACTTTACATTTCTGAAAAATCAATTATAAATTTAAAAACGATTTAATTATGCATAAACCCTATTTTTTTAAGTTGGTCTAAAACAACATTCATTCATCTCAACATTCATTCACTGCCATAAATATTTAAAAACGATGAACATTAATTTATTACTCATTAAATCTAATGACAAAAAAGGAAATACTCTCTTACTTTATCTTTAATCAATGACTTCCGGACCAATCAGAGTTAAAACCTTTATTTTTAAACTTCTTGTTTATTATACTTCTCCACTATTTTCTAAACTAATCTCTTGTTTGATAGCATCATATTCCTGTTTGATATTTACATCTGTTATACCATAAAAGTATCCATCAAGTATAGCAAAATTTTTAAAAAATTAATGCATTTCATGAATCCACTAATTTGGATTTTTTTTAGAATATTCCATGCTCTTATTAGCATTTATTTTGCTTGCTGTGTGTTCGTTAGTACAGTAAAGCTTTTAACACAGTTGAACACAAGATTCCAATTAAGAAGTTGTAATACTAAGGCATTTGAGGTATTGCTAATAATTATTTTTCATTGCATATTTAAAATCACAGTTAGTTTGTTTCAATTAACGTTTTTGAATCCGCAAATAAAGCTATCCAGGAAATGCGAGAAATGTTTTTTTTTTAGTCACATTACCTTATGCATTGAAATAAATTTTAAATTCACATGTAACATTTTGTTACTAAACTCACAAAACAGGTATAGCTGATAGAATAGAAAGTATAGCCAAAAGCATGGAGAAGTGAAGAAGTAGGTGCTTATTTTGCAATAAATGCTGTGTACACTCAAATACCATACGATTGACAATCTACTATAAATGTAATAACAGCAAATTAAAAATACAGTCAAAAACATGATCATACCTGATCATTCGAATTCAGCTACATTAAAACTTTATTAAATGCTATAATCATTCAAATTCAGCTACATTAAAACTTCATTAAATGCTATAGCAGTACTAAAATAAAAGCATTTATCTATTGATTTAGGAAAATTTCATTAAAATGTCAATCATAAAAAAGTTGATTGTTGTTGAATTAAAAAACTGTTGTAAAATACTGATGGAATCAATGTCCACCTCATCACTGATGATATCTACTGATGCCATTTAATGCCTCGGCATTGCAAGACTAATGACGTCATGATTAAATTATCGCATTGTATTTTGTAGTACAAAATCAAATCACTGTGTTGATTCACTACAAAATCCAATCACTGTGTTGATTCACTACAAAATCCAATCACTGTGTTGATTCACTAGTGATTTGAAGAGCTAAGCAGTCTTTAACTTTCATATGTCAAAGACAAAAAACACGTGTTAAATAACATGGAGCCAAAAACATGTGTTAAATAACATGGAGCATAATATAATACGAAATGATTCAGATATTTAAAGAACAACTTGCTATTGAAAATACAGAAGAGTGCATATATTACCTGGCAAGTATATTTATCAACTTCAATATTGCTTTAGTGGTAGAGCTTTTCCACGACATTTTTGATTGACATTTTGAAACTGTTCTCAACTTGTTTCTCTATACAGAGACCTTTTTCACTAAGAATCAGTTTTTGGAGTGAAATAGTTAAGAAAAGCTTGTAACAGCAATAAAAAAATAAAAAACATCATTGTCAATCTCTGGAAGATGAAAACAGTTTAAAAATGCATTAACTTTAAGAAGTTGAGAAGGACACACTAAATCCAATAACATTGATTTAAGAACTTATCTTTGTACTCAAAAAACTTTTGTATTTTACTTCAACACATTCTTACTCATTTTAATACTTTGTATTATCTATTTATACAAACATTTACAATAAAAAAAGAGAAATAAAACATACCAAGTTCTCCCCCAACCGTGGTAAAATCATAAGGGAGCAGCGTCCATTTTTGTACCTATAATAAAACAATAAAATAGAAAAATATAAAGATTTTAAAAATAGGTTCAACAAATATGAAAATTGTGAAACTGAGAAGGTAAAGAGTTATAAATAGAAGCTTTAGGCTTCATTATTATTAAAAGGGTTGTCCATAAAAGATGTCATTCAAAATTTAAATACTAACCAGAAGTAGAAATTTATTGGCTCCCTTCCACAGAGATTTTTATTGAACATGCGCTATATTACTCTAAAAATCTCTGCACGCAAGAGCCAACATTTTCCGACTTCTTGCCATTAGTTAAACTTAGCGTGACGCCCTTTATGGATGATCCCATAATGACTGAGGTTGACACCTTAACTTGAAAACTTTATTTCTACTTTGATTACTAATCAAAAGTGCAACAAAGAATAGACACTAACAAAGAGCAATAACCAACAAAGAATAGAAACCAGCAAAGAACAATAACCAACAAAAAATAGAAACCAACAAAGAATAATAACCAACAAGGAATAATAACCAACAAAGAATAGAAACCAACAAAGAAAAATAACCAAAAAAGAATAGAAACCAACAAAGAATTTTTTATTTATTAATTTTATTTGATAAATATTTGTACGAGATAAATTACTTCAGAAATTATCACAAATCTGTTACAAGATCCTGTTATAAAACATAACAAAAATGATAAACAATTGAAGTAATCAGGTGATTAGAAATGTCATAAAAAACATTTAAAAGTAAAGTTTTAACAAATTTTTAAATTCATTTAACATGTTGATTTTCCTAATTTCTAATGGTATATTGTTATAGACTTTTGCACCAAAGTAATAGAAAGAATTTTTAGCAAATTCATGTTGGATTTTTTTAATTTTAATTAGGTTGCTATTATTTCTTGATGCTTTTGAATGACAACTTCAAAGTAGTTGAAGCATTATAAACCAAGAATGGATTGTTTCTTTAATAGACAGGGTGTAATGAGAAATTGCAAGAATGGTGATTTTGTGCTCAATTTGTGTTTGCTGTTTGCATTTATTATACAAGACGCATGTATATGCAAAAAGTCCAGCTTATCTGTTTTTGATTTTGGTAGGTTGAGGTTGAGTTAAAGATTTCCACAGAAGGTTAAAACAGGTATAATAGTCAACTAGTAAATGCGTTCTACTGCAACAAATTTCTTATTTTTTTTAGTCTATTGTTAAAATAACTACTCATGTTTAGTGTTGGGTTTAGTGTCGATACCAATGTATTTAAAGTTCAAGGTGAAACATATTGAGTCAAAGTTGTAAGAAACATTCATCATGGTTGTCTTCAGAGAGATTTTCATGTACCAAACTCCACCTTACTGACTCTAAGGTTGAGTATTAGCTAGTTTTTACACACATATATGACATTGTTGTCAGCATAAATAATAGATTTTGAATGTTTCAAATGTACCAGGTCATTAAAGAAAATAACAAAAAGTAAAGGGCCTAATATTGATCCTTGAGGTACACCACATTCAACTTTTCCTGTTTCAGATATTGTGTTTTGAAAATAAATTATTTGAGATCAGTTAAATAGGTAATCTATAAACCAGCAGAATTCAGTATCACAAAAACCATAACTGTTAAGCTTTTTGATGAGTATTACATGACTTAAAGTGCCTTACTCAAGTCAAGAAATACTGCCCTAACTATTTTACCTTTGTCAACTTTTCATTTTATGTTATCTAAAAACAGCGTTGCAGCTAGTTTTGTTGATTATTTATGTCAAAAACCAAATATTTATCAAAGAAGTTTCCTTTAAATAATTTGATAATTGGATGTGTACAATTAATTTTTGATATAGTTGGTATTACAGATACAGGTCAGTAGTTTTGAATGTCTTTGTGGGGCTTTGATTTGTATATTAGGAGAATTCTTGAGCATTTCCAATCAGTTTAATCGGTTGATATCTTCAAAGACATGCGTATTATATGAGTAAGTGGTTCAGACAAGACGTTAACTGTGTCTTTCAGTATTGATGGTGATATACCATTTAGGCTGGTAGACTTTTTTGTTTTTAACCCACGTAATTCTTTTTCTATTTGATCAACCATTACATGTATAAAATTAAAAGACCTTTAAGTATGAGTTGGTTCCCAATGTGATAAAACCCATATGCAGTGTTTTAAAAAAACCAATTCTTTAAAGTAGATACCACATAGCAGAGATGTTCACAAAAAGCAGATGATATTTCTCAAAGATTACAGGATGGAGACGAGTTAATAATAAATGTTGTACTAGTTAAAGATTTAGTTTTACAAGGGTAAATAATTTTAATGATATGCCAGAAACTTTCAGGTTCATTTGCAGATTTGTGTAGTATATTTCAATGGCAGTTCCTGTTTTGATCGTTTTATAATAGCATTAACTTCATTCCTCTTGTTTTCAAAAAGCTGTTTGTCAACTGCAAAATTTGTTTTACGAAATTTACAAAAAATCAAGTAGATTGTCACATATGTTCATATTGCTAAATTAGCTTCTGCTAAGGTTGCTTCTCTTTATCGTGCTCGCCATTTCCTTACTTCTGATTCCATTCTCTACCTCTACAAATCTCTTATTCGTCCCTGTATGGAATACTGTTGTCATATTTGGGCTGGTTCTTCTAACGATTCACTTTCTCTTCTTGACAAGGTCCAAAAAGGCATTGTAAATGTTGTTGGACCTGGACTATGTGCTAAGCTTGAACCTTTTTCCCATCGTTGTAAAGTTGCATCTCTTTCTCTTTTCTACAGATACTATCATGGTCATTGCTCAAAGGAGTTATCATCTCTAGTTCCATTAACTAAAATTCATTCTCGTTTTACTCGTCATTCAGCTAAGTCTCATTCGTTTACTGTATCTGTCCCTGCATGCTCTAAAAACTTTTATTCATCTAGTTTTTTTCCCCGCACTTCAATCTTTTGGAACTCTCTCTCATCTTCATGTTTTCCTGAATCATACAACCTTCAACTTTTCAAGTCTTCTGTCAACCGTTTCCTTGCTCTATAACTCTGTTCTTTTTTTTCCTAGTAACTCCCAACTTAATAGTGGTTGCTTGCAGCCTTGTTGGGAGTGAATGCAAATAAAAGAAAAAATAAAAAAAAAATATGGTATTTTACTTGAACTGTTAGCTATGGATATGGTTTGCCTCGAATGCATTTTTCAATACTTTAGGACATTTTAAAACCATGTGTTTTATGTTGGTCCGTGATGTGTTTACATTACTTGAAAGTAGAACCGAGGACCAATCATAGCTATGAAGCAAACTACAGAACTCCTGTTTAGTGTATTGTAAAAATTCTACACTTTATTATTTTTGGTTTGTACTTAGCATGATTGGATTTGCAAATGTATCCAGTTAGATCATGGTCACTAAAGGATGTCGGTATTACAAAAGATTTTGATATAAGAGTAAGAATATTTGTATAAATTACAACTAAGGTAGAAGATGTTAATGTTCTTGTAGCGCTTTTTATTAGTTGTTTGAAACCATAGAAACCATAGAATTGTAGCATTGATTTTATTTCGATTTATTTGGTTTTAAATAATTAACATTGATATTACCTATTAATATTGTTTCTATTCAATCAAACTTTGAAATAATTTCCACAAATAGGTTAGGGAAGTTAGGATTTAGGTATTTCAAACCATCTGGTGGGTGATACAGGACACAGAATAATATACTCTTTGTATTTCAAAAGAATTATTTCAAAACAAATGCTCTCTATTTTGTTACTTTGTAGATCGTTGTGTCTCACCCACCTCAACTTAGTGGATATCTAGACTGCAACACCACCGCCAAGGCCATTTTGACGTGCCCTGTTTAGAAATTATAGCCCTCAATATCATATTGTTCACTAGGGTCCTTTTTGCTAATATGGGTTTCAGTCAATCTGAATATATCAATGTTTTTGCTGCTGTTAAACAGGTTGACGATGTTAGATTATTTGTTCTGCAGGCCACGAATATTTTAAATGAAAGAATTGCAAGCCTTTCGAATATAATATGATTTCAATTTTTTTCATTTCTGCGTTAGTTTGATATAAATATATTGGCCCAGGGTATGTTTTTATGTCACCTGATAACAATAATAGAATTTTTAGTAAAGCATTTTTTTTCTTGTTAGTATTGCCATAATGATGTTTGTATAAATGTTAACTCAAATTCTATAGTTTCAAAAGATGTTTCAGAAAAACATATCGACTTTGAGTTTTGCTGTGAGAGCAGTTTAACAGTTATTGTAGATTAGACTAGAAGTGTAATCTAGATAAAGTTGAACATTTATAGAAATTAGTAATAGATAATAGTGATATAATAACCATACATAAATATGGTATAATAACCAACAAAGAATAATAACCAACAAAGAATAGAAACCAAAAAAAATTCTAAACAACATAAATAACAAATTGCAATTAAAATACAAATGAAAGTAAGAGATAACCAATAAAAGTTAAAGACGCTGTCTCAATAAAAATAATTATCTTTGGCAGATGTTAACTCCATTTGGCTACTGTCATAAAGATCTAACAAGCAAAATCTTTAGGAGTACATAGGAAATCTCTGTTGAGCAGCCTTGTACCAGGTTTGTAGGTTAGATAATATGGAATTAAAGTGTGCTGTGAGAAGAACAAAATGTCAATAGGTTTCGATGTTCTTTTTAGGTAAATTCTTTTTATAATTAAAACCATATGTAACTAGATAACAACTTTTTTATTCTATGATCATTCTAGAAATAACTTTTAGAGTGAACTTTTGATTATCTTTAAAATGATTTATCTTTAATTAGATTACCAACAGTCACAACTATCTTCTATTCCAATCTCTAATTTTAAACCAATAGTCGCAACTATCTTCTACTCCATTTCTGATGTTGACTCTCTGGTGGTTTCAAATAGATTATATTTGAAAATCTCTCAACTTTTAAATGTTGTTTTTTTAAAACGCTAACTTGATTTAATATTATCCAGTGAATTGTGGCTATACAGTGAATTATGAATTTTGAACATGTTTAACTACATTTTTTACTATAAAAACGAAATGAAAATGCAAATAAAACAATTTTAATGATAAATGAATTAACAATAAGAATAAATAAATCATAAAATAAAGCAAAATTTAAACTTTTTAGTTTAAATTAATAATGTATGAAAAAAATAAGATCTTTTTAACAAAAAAGGAAAAAAAATCTTTGCTTACTTTTGATGCATTTGATATGGCTTTTTTGTTAGCGCAATCTATGCCTGATTGAATTGCTTGTCGTAGTGGTTCTGGAACATTTGGAGATATCTCTTGGGATTTAGTAGCATTAATTCCAAGTTCACTACAATATTTCACAACCATCGGTAGAAGTTTGTCTGTTGACAACCCTGTTTCCATGTCTATTTCAACCTATATAATACAGAATAATACATTAGACTTATATATACACCTTTAAGTAAAGACAACATACTATTAAAAGCAAATATAAATCAAAAAAATTAAAATATTTTATTTTTATTCAAATATTTTGAATGATTTTTAACCTTGATATTTTAATCCCATAAACTATTATAAATATGAAAAAAATTAATTACAAATTTTACTTTTTAAATTGTTTTATCTAGAATTAAATAATTAGTATTTAGTCTAATTGAATATATCTAGTGCCAAATTTACTAAAATAAAAGATGTTATAAGTAATTGAATATATCATCCAAATTTACTAAAATAAAGATGTTTCAAGTAATTGAATATATCAGCCAAATTTACTAAAATAAAGATGTTATAACTAACAAATGAATAACTATTGCATTAAAAACTAATAAATAATTATAATTGATGGTTATTTAGACAACTTTTGCTGCAAAAATCAATCCTAGAACTCCTTCACTTTATTGCACACACAACAAACTTTTAGACACAACATTTTTTTAAACAATTGAAAATGAGCTACATTACAGCAGCAAAAAAAACATTTGTACATATGCTTTGAAGCAATTGTATGTATGCTTTGAAGCATTTATACGTATATTTTGAAGCATTTGTATGTATGCTGTGAAGCATTTGTACATATGCTTTGAAGCATTTGTACATATGTTTTGAAGCATTTGTACATATGCTTTGAAGCATTTGTATATATGCTTTACAAACGTGTAGCAAATTAAAAAATAACTTTGTTTTTAAAAAGTTGTTTTGTAATGATGCCAGAATTTTTATTTATTTATTTACAAATTTAACATACTAAACTTATTAAAACTAACAATTATAGTAACAAAAATATAAAACATAACTTATTTTTTTATTCCTTCAACTGTTTTACATATAAGTTTATTTACAACTGTTTTACATAATTATTTGTAATTAATGTTAAGTACAAAATTTTTCCATATTCTAGATGGAAGATACAATACAAATACAATGTACAATACAAACAAACTTTTAATTATGCCAATTACATATGCATAATTAAAAATTTAAGAAAATACATAGATATTTAAAGATACTATGTCTTATATTAAGATATATTACATAGCAATGATGTAATGTCCCAAAAAAAACTCTGGTTTAACATGTTACAAAAATTACTTTTCTTAACATGTTACAAAAATTACTTATTCTTTAAAAAAAAATTTGCTATAAGTTTTGAAAAATAATTTTTTTAAAACATATATATTAAAATAGACGTGAAAAAAAAATTGATCAGTTTTAATTTCGAATTAATGTTACACGATGTGTAAATAATGGTGCATTGTTATAAACTATGGTTATTAATTGAGTTTTCTTTGCAGAAGGAAAACCTTGTGTATCTTAAAATAGTTAATATTTTTAAAAAAACTTTTAAAAATATGATTAAGCAGTTTTAAAAAATATGGTTAAAAATACGGCACAGGTTTTGCGTAATTAACAATAAAAGAATGTCAGATTTTACTTCATCATAATTAATAAATAAAACTTAGAAATTCTCCCCACTCCTCCACCATTCTTTCCACAATTTCACCATTGTGTTCTCTTTAAAAACTCAAAAAAGTTATTTCATTTTGAACCAATAAGTTTTTTAATATTTTTTGCAGGTAATTCTTGTAAAAAAATTCTAGTGAAAAATTCCTGAAATTTTTAACAAAAAACTTTTTGATATAAATAAAATTCATCCCATCAGTATTAAGATTACAGTCCTAAAAATTTAAATTACATTTAACAGTTGTCAACCTAAGGTTATCTTTCATTTTAAACCTAAAAATTTATTCAAATTTTCCTTTAAGTTGAAATTATAGAGTATTCAATTTCAGTAATTTGTCTTGCTTTAGTTAGCAGCTGTTTTGCTTTAGTTAGCAGCTGATTGATTGTAAGTGATTGTATTTGTAAATTTTTGCATTTTTTAATTTAAAAAAATGTTTTCATTTTTAAAATGAAAAACTTTCAGTATGTTAGAAGCATTGTAATGATCAATGCTTACCAGAGTTAATACTTTGTTTATAAACAATAATTAGTCAAATGAAATGATATTCTGCAAATTAAACATCCTGTAAGTTTAGCAATACCAACTGCAGTCAATAAAAATTTAACATCAAACATTTGAATCCGGATGAAAGGATGAAAAAATGGATGAAAGCAATTGTTTTTGTTGAGTATTTTATAGAGAAGTTTATGTAATTTAGTCTCCAGTGCTTTAGAATTCCGAAAATATTTAATTGTTTTTTTTGTTGAGTTGAGTTTTATTTATATTACTGTTTCATTATATGCATCAATATACTGTTTCATTATATGCATCGATGAAAGCTTGACAATCAAATGTTATTTTATCCCAAATTAGGTTCTTTAATTTTTTGAAATTTTCCTAAAAATAGCTTAGCAATGATTGATGATCGATCATTATTTCGAGCGCTGATATGATTATTTAAAATAAAAAAGTATAAATAAAAAAATAAAAGAAACAAGTTGCGACTTAAATTAAGATGAATAATGAAATATAACTCTGTAACTCTATATTTAAATAAGACAAGTTACAACTTAAATTAAGATAAATAATGAAATATAACTCTTTAAACTCTATATTTTTTAACATAAAGTGATAAAAAGTTTTGTTTTAATCAGATATAATTGAGTAAAGTTTCAAAATAGAATTGCCATGCTAAATAATCACAAAAACAAAACATTTTTCACAACAAAAAGTATAAGCATATTAGGGTGTTCAGGGTGTTAGGAACTATTAGGGTGTTTAAGCAAATTAGGGTGTTCAGGGTGTGTTTTCGAAAACTACTTTTTGACAGCTTGTTTTAATAAGTCATCAACAAGGAAATCAACTGAACTTTTGTTGTAGTTGTCTTTTGCTGGATCAACTATCGCTCCTACAAAAAAAGACAATAATTTGACATCAATTAATGTGGTTTATAAGAAATAAAATTTTTATCGGATTAAAAAACAATGCAGAACAAGAGCATTTACATTGTTTACTTTTCAAAACTGATAACTCAAAAACTGAGAAGCTGATTTTCAAAACTGATAAGCATTAGTAACAATCTAAGGGCTAATGATCTGTTACCTTGGTTGGTACATTTAGTGCTTAATAAATCTCGTACAAATAATATTGGTTTTACAAATGTTATCAATTTATTATTTTAAAATTGTTTTTTAAAAACTTATTTACTCCTAAGAACCACTATTTAAGTTGGGTGTTACCTGAAAATAAAGATCAAGAAAATAATTAACAGAATTAAAAAACTGTATAGTTTGAGGAAATATGAAGACAGGAGAGAATGCCAAAAAAAAGACAATTAAAAGTTTCTAGAGCATGAAGAAAGAAATTTTGAGCAAAAACTGTTTATGAAACAACCATGATTTATAAAAAAGAGAAAGAGATCCAAGCCTGTGACATTGGGACAGAGGTTCAAATTTTGCAGCCAGTTCAGGTCAAACTACATTTAGGCCTGATCTTGCTGTAAGGAATTGGAATAAGGAATTGGTAAGCACAATAAATAGAGGCAACTTTAGCAAAAGCTAACTTTACGATGGATTGTATATATGGTTTCCATGAGAGGTCAGGTCAAGAGAGTCTGAAAAGAATTTTTTGTAAAAGTTATTAAAATTTCACAACTTATTTCACAGATTATAACAGAATATAATCAATGTTAATTTGAACTTGATATCTGCATGCAAGCAGCTTCAGGAGAAAAAGTTAGAGATGGAAGTAACAAAACTTAGAGTGTTATAAATGACATGTGTCTTAGTGCGTTATAAATGATATGAAAAATCTTCAGTATAATAGCATCCTTGTAAATATTAACATTTTTTATTTGGTTTTTCTTTAATTTATTAAATATTTTTTTTTGGTTATCTTCAAAAATTAAAAAGGAAAAACATATTATTATATATATTAAAAAGACTTACACGAGGAGTCAACAAACATGTCAAATATTTCTTTTGATCTCCAATCACCATCGCAATGGATATTAAAGGTAATTCAGCTTTGATATTATCTTCAATTGGAACTGGAGCTATATTTTCCCCTCCTGCAGTTATGATCAATTCTATAAAAAAAAAAATGATTTAAAGCTTTTTTTTTTAATTTTACAAAAAATTTCTGAAAAGTTTTGTAAAATTTAAAAAATAATATTTATAATGCTTTTTTTAACTTTCCAAAAATCTGTTTTCTTAATTTTATATTTGTTCTACTCTATAATTATAATGGAGGAAATCATACATTTTTAACAAAACTTGGATAAATTCTACAACAAAGGAACAAATTTAATTACCTTTAATTCTTCCAGTTATATAAAAGAAACCATTCTAAATAGATACAAAACATAAAGCTTATAAAACAAATAACCTATTTTAAAATTAAAAATTGAAAAGTAACAAAAAAAAAAAAAACATTTTACAACACTTACATTTAAAAAAACTTCTTAGTTTAGAAAAATATTTTCGTCTTAGTTCTGACTTTTAAGTTTGCAATACAAACCAATTTACTCCTTTTATTTTTGGATAAACAACTGCATATTTGAACAGTGTACCTTTTTTTTCTAGATATTATTAAACTGCTATAAGTTTTATTTGAGATTCATAATTTGTTCACAATATTATTAATAGAAAAAAAGCAATCATGTGTACTTCATGTTTAATATTATTTATTTCATTTTATTCATTTTATTTTGCATAGACAAACAGGTTTCAACTTTACTTTAGGTAATTTTTTATTTTACTCTTGTAATTTAATAATACACCTGGCACCAAACAACAAAAAACAGAGAGAAGATATAAAAACAAAATTATAATGGATCTACTGAAATTATATATCAGCTTGAATAATGCATCTGCTGAAATTTTAAAAAGATAAAAAGAATAGATAGATTAGTTATTAAGCTAAATGGTTTGACCAGCGTACAAAATAAACAAATTATTCGCCACTTTTTTACAACGGAAAGAAAACTTATTTATTCAATAATGTAAACTCAACATCTGCTAACAAACAATTTGAACACCTGTCTTTTTTGATGTTCCTCTTCCAAAGACAAATGAAAAAACAAATTTGAAAAGTGTTCCTCTTCCAAAGACAAATGAAAAAACAAATTTCCTTTTTTTTTTAATTCTTGATGTTTGAATCCTTTCTTAATCATATAACTTTAAAACACCTTGACAAACATGGCAGCTGTTGCCAAGAAACAAGTTGAGCAAGTACAACTGGAGCAGTTTATAAACATGTTAGACAAAATCATTAAAAAACTTAAATTCTTTTTTTGAAAACCCTGAAACCTTGGAGCAGTTTAATCAAGCCTTGAAATTTTATAAGGAAACTTTTTATATTATTTCACGCTTTGTTATATAATATATTATATCACGTTATCACCTCATTGTTAATTAGCAGCAATAATTGTGTAAATCACTTCATTACTTCCATATATATCAATCGTAACCATAACTTTCATATCTATCGCTTAAAAAAATTCTTTAGAAAACAGATGTCTGTTTACTAATTCTAAAAACCATTGTTAAAAAACTTTGTCTAACGTCAAAGTCCTTTATTCTCAGGTCGCAAATCACTAAAATTACTTTAGAAACTTAAAAAAAAATACATGTCAACTATCCATGAAAAAAATCTGAGAATTAACAACAAAAACCAAAATCTAAAAACTTAAGAATTTAATAAACCAAATATTTCACTATTAGCAATAGCATAACCTTTAGGTGGATTAAGTATAGCGATACTAAGTTAAATGTAATACATAAACTGTATTATATTTTCATAAATCAAACAAACCATGAAAACAATTGTGCAAATGTAATAATGGGGTGTGTGTTGTGCTTCGAGAAAATCACACTGTTTATATTTATTTTAAATAGATACTTAGATATTATTTTTTATTTTTTTGTTTTCTAATACTTATAATTTTTGAAAAATGCTGAAGCTATTACACACCAAAATTATATGACAGTGCATTTGACATTTGTGTAAGAAATTTAACTTGTTAAACATTCAGGAAAAATCATTATATATTAATTTTTAATATATAAAAATATTTGTAAATAAAACCTTATCACGCTTTCCAACATCTCCACTTCTTAACCAGCCATCATTGCTTAACACTTCTTTTGTTTTTTGTTCGCTATTTAAGTAACCCATCATCACATTCCGACCTCTGAAGCTTAACTATAAAAAATCGTTTGTGCTTTGTGCTTAAAGGATAGTTTTATTAGACAAAAACAAACAAATAGTGGCAAATGAAAACGAGCATTAAAAATAGTGGATAAATGGAAAATAAATTTAAAACTTAAACATTTAATGTTTTAATTAATCTTTTCTTATAACTATAATCCTACTTATAAATATTTGTTGTTGTTGTTTTTGTTGATGTGAGTTTGTTGTTGTTGTTGATGTAAATTTTTGTTGTTGTTGTTGTTGTTATTGTTGCTGTTGGCACAATATAAGTTTAAGTAAAATAACAGAATAAATTAAGAATAGTATATTTAATAAATAATAATATATTCTTAATATTATTTTATTTTTAGTAATTTATTATTTTATATTTTTATTAAATTAAAAGTATAAAAATTTTTAACTTTTTGAAAATTATAAAATTATAAAAATTATAACCCTATAATTAAGTTTCTTTAAGTTGAATTAAACTAGAACTATTGATAAATGAATTTGAAAAAAACTTTTAAATTTTATGTTTGAATGTTGAATAAAATAATAAATCTTTTTTTTTTAATTTTATTTATTAAACCTAGTATTTGTGACTCAACCTGTATGAGCAAGTTGACCAAACATCAAAGTGTTTTTAACTCAAATACTTGAAAATTTTGAATAATACAAACCGAACTTAAAATATTTTATTATAAGTAATAAATTTATTATAAAAGAAAAAATTTATGTTAAAAGCTTATACATGTTTTATACATCAATAGTTCTAAGCTGTACACATTAGTACAAATCCCCATCATATCTCTGTAAAATACATCTAACTAATAAATGCCTTAAATTAAAAAAAAAACAAAATAAAAATTAAAATGTGAACTTTAATATAAATAGTTTAATCTATTAAAATAAGAGGATTTCAAATTAATTATAACTAATTAAAATTTTTTAAATAATTTATTATAGTTTATGGCAATTTAATGTAATTAATTATAGTTAATAATATCTTACTTCGCCACAACCAATTTCATCAGGGTTTAAAATATTGCCTTCGTTAATAGATAAGAGTTTTCCGATTGATAAAAATTTGGATTGTTTTGGTGTGGACATTGTTACAGGACCAGTAGATTCACTCATTCCATAAATTTCATTTAACGGTAAGCAGAGGCTTTGGAAGTATTCTAATGTTTCTTTCGATATTGGAGCAGCACCACAAAACAACATCTGGCAACGATCCAAACCTAACTTCCTATGTAACTTTAAAAATAAATGAACTGTTTTTAACATGGTTTTAAGATTTTCAAGTGCAATGGTATAGATATATATTTTTCAAGATATAAACATAATAAAAAACATATTAAGATAAAAAATATAGAAAAAGTTTAACAGAACAAAAATAAAAATATAGATAATTAAAATATAGATAAATTTCTTAACAGTTAATTTATTTCTTACTATTAATAAATTTAAAAAACAATACTTTTTTAATTAGCCTTTTTGCGAGAAATGTTCCAAATGGTTCTGATTCTCTAAATAAGTTAATCACATTTGATTATTACAATTAAAAACAACAACTTAAATATTTAGATAATAATATACATCTTGATAACTAAAATTAATAAAATAAATAATAAATAAATAAAATTAAAATGGGGCCATTACCCTAATTCATGATTTTTGTATGCAAGTAAAAGTTTTTGCTTAGTCCAGCCACTTAACTTCTTTTTGAAACCAGTCATGTTTGCTCCAACACTTTTTAAGTTTTCTTCTATTTTCTCATAGACTCTTAAATCAACAAATTATTAGAAGTGTATAAATAATACTTAACATGTAACAAATTTTTCATATATAATAGGATATATATATATGTATATATATATATATATATATATATATATATATATATATATATATATATATATATATATATATATATATATATATATATGTATATACATATATATATATATATATATATATATATATATATATATATATATATATATATATATATATATATATATATATATATATATATATATGTATATATAAATTATATTTGCAGCTATATATATATATATATATATATATATATATATATATATATATATATATATATATATATATATATATACATATATATATATATATATATATATATATATATATATATATATATATATATATATATATATATATATATATATATATATATATATATATATTTATATATATATATATATATATATATATATATATAAATTATATTTGCAGCTCTTACCTTTACATGTTCTATATGATAAAATAATACTATATTTAAAAGTTTTTGAATAAAAAATATTTTTAATGGTGCTGAACATTTAATGGGTCCCTGATGTTAATAAAAAAAAAGTTTTTCCAAAATATGTTTTGTTGGGTCTAAAAAAAGCGAAATTTTATAAAAACTTTTACAAAAATAATAATTATTTTATAAAAAAATTTAGATAAAAAATATAAAAAATATAATATTATAGCTAAAACCTTTATTTATAAAAAAATGACTATTTTCTATTTTTAGTTGAAAAATATCAATTTCTAGGCAGTAAAATCGAAAATAATACTTTACAAAATGATGATTATTTTTAAAAACTTATATAACTTTGCTTCATTTAAAAGCCAACAAAACATACTTTTGAAAAAAAATATTTTATTATTATAAGGAACCCATTAAATATTCAAGGGTTTTAAGGCACCCCTAAAAATATTTTTTATCCAAAAAATTTTTAAATCCAGTGATATTTTATTATATAGAACACATTAAGATGCAAGCTTCAAATATTTTTTAAAAATGTTGTTATTTGAACTACCATAACACACACACACACACACATTATATATATATATATATATATATATATATATATATATATATATATATATATATATATATATATATATATATATATATATATATACATAAAGTAGAAATGAGTTAATACAAAATATTGAAGTAGAAATGAGTTGAAGTCTTACCTCGGAACACCACCGAACAAAGTAGGGCGTACTTGTTTAAGTGTCTTAATTAAAGAGCCCTAATACAAAACCAAGGATTTACACCAGAAGCTATAAAATTACATGGTTAAACTTGTAAAAAAAAAATAAGTTTCAAAATAATAGATAAAATAATTTCTTGTTATTTGATGTAGAACAATTAAAAAATACCAGAATGTTTCAAAACTATTAACCACCAATCAATAACCCCACCACATCCCTGGTAGCACCTTGCACAACTAGTTTCTCTGCGCAGCGGCATTGTTCATCAAGGTTAGCGTTTTGGAGTTGTATAGTTGATAGAGGGTTGTAGCCACAATTTAAGTAGCCTCCTCTGCTGTAGTGGCTTTCATGGCCTTAGGGAGGCGAATTTAAAAAAATAATAATAAAAAAAAAAGCTAGAAAAAAGTTTGATTAGTACATATACAATTGTCTATGTCCAAATAATTCCATTAAAGAACCTTTTCTAGAATTTTGCAAAAATTATGTTAAAAAGGCTATTTTATTTAAACTATTTTTTTTAAGAATTTAACATAACGTAAAATTTGAATACATAATATTAAATTTAATAAGTGCATTGTTTTAACTTTGATTACCATTTAAGTACAGTAAACACAGTTATTTGGAACTCCTAGGGAATTATAAATTTTCTTTAATTAATCTAAATTTCAAATAAGTAAAAAATTCTTTTTAAAGTATTTTAAATTACTACCAAATTTTAACAGAAAAATTGCAATAAGATGCAGGTCTTTTCCTTGAAAAATAACAAATTCTTTACAATTTCTTGAAAAAATGATCTATTTTTGATTGCTTTTTTGTTTTTATCTGACAGTTTTGGCTTTTGGGAGGCAATTGTTTGTCTCTTAATCTACTTTCCCTTTTTCCTGTGCACAATTGTTAATTAAAATGAAATCCTATTCAGATGAAATTCTCTGGACAAGGTAGGCTTATCACATCTTAGGAACATTGTTGAGTTTTATGCACTTCCAATTATCAACATAAGCATCTTTTTATTGATGTAAGCATCTTTTCATCAACCACTTTTCAGGCTGCTAAACGGTTAAATTTTTGTAATTTTTCTTTCTGTTCACCTTTTTCACCAAAAAGATTTTTCCGAAAGCTGTTGAGAAAATAAATCAAACTTGTCGGCATTGTAAATACCCTTTAATTCATACCTTAAAACAAATGGGTCTGCTCCCAACTTCCTGTCATTTCTTTTGTGTAAAACCTTTATTTGCTAGTACAAAAAACAACATTATTTCTATTTTTCAACCAATTTAGCAACCCTTCTGAGGATTTTAAACCAGTTATGTTGAGTTCTGTTGCAAAATCTAAAGCTTTCTCCCTTACAATGTGCTCATAATTTGGTACATTTTATTATTATGTATTCATAAACCAATTATATGCCACTTCATCAATGGAATTGTGCGTTCCAAAACTTAACTTTTGTCTCTTTGCTCCACACTGACCAGATTCATACTTGCTTATAATGTCTTCTTTATGCTTAATCCAGTAAGTTAAAGTATTTTGAGAAACAAAAAACATTTCTTTTTAATGCACTTTTTGCAAGCTTGCAACTGTTGCTACATTGCATGGCTGAAGTTGAAGTCACTGTAGATTAACGTAAACGATCACCCAGTTTTGGGATGTTTTACTGTTTTGATCTTGTTTATTACTTTTTCAAGCACTTCTTTGTTGTTGCTGCGCGCACAATAAATACCAGAAGAAAACTCTTTATCTTACTTTATAACTTGCCATACTTGCTTTATGTCAAATGAATTTTATATCTTTTCAGCTTCTGATGTATCAACTTTTATGTATATTATCACACCTGTTTTTTTCCAATTTGTATACTAGTTCTTCTGTGTCTATTCTTGTTATCTGTTCATCTTGTTTTCCACCATTCAGTGAGCCCAGATTATTTCCCCAGATGATGAGTTGTTTGTAATTGACTTTATTTTTTGTGGTCATCTTTTAATGGTGGTAAAGGTTTCTTTATTGTTGGTGTCTTATTTTGTACATTTTTTTAATACTTATTTTATATTTTTCATAAAGCTTAGTTTAGTTTTTATTTACACTTTTTTTTTTAATAAATTTTAAATAGCATAAGTTAAAAACTATAAAATTAATATTTTTATAAATTATAAAATTTATTAAAAAATAGAAAAATATAATTCATATAATAAACAAAATTTAAGTAATTTTTTTTTCAAAGATGAATAAAACTTTTGTCTATAATTAAAAAGAAATTTGATCACTTGACTGTACCTTATAGGGTGACTTTAACTTGACTTGACTATTGACTAACACTTGACTATAACTAATAGGGCCCAAAAAAAAAATACCTAGAAAAAAAAAAACTAGAAAAGCATTTTTATTCAATTAAAAGTAATATTTTGAAAATTGCATTTTTTTTTTAAAAAAAATGCAATTTTTAGGAAAAATATTTTGCTGTCGAAGTGCAGGACAACTTGTTTTCCCTTTCAGGTCTCCATTATATCTTGTCTTATCTGGTCTTCTAAAAATCCAAATAACTTTATCACTTATGTAATTAAATCTTTAATTATGCTAGTTTTTTTTCTACTAACAATTCTTAAATAGATTTTCAATCTTCTTGAATACCTTTTGATGAACAGAGCTTTTGGAAACGAGAGCATTTTCAAAATTGCCTAACTTATTGCATAATACTGCAATATTTGAGGTCGGATTTCAATCCTATACAGAGCAGATACTACAGATGTACAATTCACCAGATCCTCAGGACTCATATTTATTATTATCTAAATAATAAACAATGATGTTTCTACTCTATTTGAATTTTAATTTAGTTAAATCAAAATTAATTAAACCAACTTAATATTTTATAACCAGCATTTGTTTACCTTGGCTTTTACCGTAGAATCAGAATTTTGAAATAATTCATCAACAAAATCTTTATCTGTCTATTATCATAATCTAAAGAAACCGCAATTAAAGCCAGGTCTTTTTTCTTTTGTTCCTTCTCCACTTCTGTATTTTTTATGTTACTTATTCTTTGCAACCAATCCTGTCTGTTTTTAACAGACACTTTAAGTTTTTTGTCTACCTCTGTTGTAAAATACATTTTTCTATCCTTTTTCTGATCTAAAAAAAAAATTGAATATCTTCTGCCTTGGCCTCCTGAGAATGAAGTCAATCTGATTGAATCTTCTCCTTAAACATCTCCACAGATATATCAAAGAGTTTTGGCAGTTGCTCCAGAAATGATAAGCTCTCTAAAGCAGCAATGTTCCACACATCCATTACAAGAGCAGTGATAAATTTATGGTTGGAATCTTTGCATAATCCACCCTTGCAGATAAGATCTTTAACTGGAACCTTTAAAAACAATCTACAACAGGCTTAGTAGATTTAAACTTTCAAGATCTTGGAAATTTGACCAACTGTATTTATCTAAGTACATTTCCAATGTTTAGGAGTTGGTTCATGGGCAACTGATTGATAGGATACTTTGGAAAAAACAGTAACCTTCTGGGGTTAGTTTGTATCTTTCTTTTTTCTCTATTTATTAGTTGCTTTCCTGCAAAAATGACCCATTTTAGAAAAAACTATGAAACATTTAATTACATAACATACATTCATTTATTATTATTAATATTATTGTTATTTTTTTATTATTATTATTAATATTTTTATTATTCATTTCATCATCTCAAAAATTTCGAACACGTGTGACCAAAACTGAGTAATTAAATTTACCTTTTTAATTAACCAACAGTGGCTTAAGTTGGTATGCTTTTCTTAATCAGTATAATGCTTATAGACATATCAAGGTTCAGATTTTGTTTAAAATAAAGTAAGCAAACAATAAGCATTTTGTAAAAAAAAAGATAAGAAAAATTTCCCTTACTAACTAATCTCAAACTGGCGTAATTTTTTTTTGACAAATTTATGCAACAAACAAAAAATGCAACACTCTTTGAGGTTTAGTATGAACATAAGGTTAATTGAATGTTTTGTACATACACATGCAATACCAAGAAATATTACTCTCGAAGAGTCGAAGTTGCGATATTTTTTAGCGACTCTGACTCCAACTCCCAAAAATTATTGCAACTCCGACTCCACAGCCCTGATAGTCATCCAAGTTATTAAATTTCTTTTTAATTATAGACAATAAAATTAATATAAAAAAAGTTGCAAAAACACAAAATCACTTTTAATGCATCAGGTTGAGCAAAAGTCAAACATGCGCCAGCTAAAGTTGAAATCCAAATATCAATTATCTGAAAAGAAAAATTTTCTTGTTTATTTTTCTTATAAAACTTAATTAAATTTGACCTTTTTTAATATATACAATGGTTCAAAAAGTCATTATTTATAATATATGTAAATATTATTTATAATATATATATATATATATATATATATATATATATATATATATATATATATATATATATATATATATATAAATATATACATATATATATATATATATATATATATATATATATATATATATATATATATATATATATATATATATATATATATATATATATATATATATATATATATATATATATATATATATATATATATAATTAAACAAAGAAAATATTCAACAGAAAACAAAGAAAATATTTAACAGAAAATAATGCAAACGTTAACAGAAAACAAAGAAAACATTTAGTAGAAAACAAGGAAAAGGCATTGTAAAATAGCACAATAAAGAGGTTAAAGAGGCCATCACTATTTTATTTAAAAGTTTGTAATAATACATTGATGTATAAAACGATTACACAACAAACAAAAAACTTAATAAACTATAAATTGTGTCAAGAAGAAATAAAAGGTAGGTGAGAACTCCATGATGGTATGATTATGGTAGTATAGGAAAATAGAAGAGAGCTTCCACCTTAAAAAAAGGAACAGAGGCTCATGTTTAGCAGATTCAACAACATTAGGATTGTGTTTTTGGAACTTGTCTAATAGTGAAAGAACCTCTGTAAATAAACCATTCTAAATATGGCAACAGCATTCTATAGAAGGCTAAATAAGAGATTTATAGAGGTAGAGAATAAAATCAGAATTAACCATATGACAAACACAAAAAAAAGAGGTAACCTTAGCAGATACTAATTTTTCAATAATTTGTACAAATATGCAATTCAGTATTGAATGATAACCTGTGAAGACATAAAGTAGAGGACTCAGTAAAAGTGTTACTATTCATTAATTAAGGAATGTAAACAATTTAGCAATAGCTATGAGCAGTAAACAGTTAAGTTTTACATAGACCAAAACTATATTGCTTACAAGACACTGCAACTCCAAACTATCATAGAAAAAAAATCCAGTTCAAGCAGCTGATCAAGCTAATAAAGAATGATGTCAATACTATGTAATTGCATCATCAGGAAAATCATTAATTTATACAAGTAAAAACACAGGACCAAGGATGAAACATGGTTATAACCCAGAAGTTACTAAAAATAAAAGCGTCCAAGGTAACTTTATTACTTTGATTTAATGGAAAGGAAAAAACTTAATGTACCAAAAAAGAGTTTTTGAACTATTAGGTTATTGGGACACCAGTGATTGCCTCACAGTTTTCATCTAATGCACAATAGGAACATTCTGATATAATGAATAACAAGCCAGCAGTTAAACAATGAGATGGTAAAAAAATTAAAAAAATTAACAATTTTAACAATTTTCTTTATTTTTTAACAAAACAGTTATTACATCACTTCAGTAAATTAAAAAAAATGTTTAACTATTAGGTAAAATGGGCATCAATTATCAAAAGTAGAATATGAGAAAAACTTGGGAGTAATAATCAGCTCTGACTTAAAATGGGACAGGCATATTAATGTTGCAATAGCAACCTCAAATCGCATATTGGATCAGCTTAGAAACTCATCCTATTACCTACTTTTATGATACCCTTTGCATCAATGGTGAGACCACATCTGGAGTATGGTGCTTCTATATGGAATCCAATTAGAGTAAAAAACATTAAAGCAATTGAGACAGTCCAGAGAAGGGCAACTAAACTAGTAAGAGATGTTAGTGGTAAAACATACGAGGATAGAATCCACTGCTTTGGTTTTGGCAACACTGCAAGTAAGTTAAATAAGAGAAAATCAAATACAAAAACTCAAAATGGGCCAAACAAAATAAACATTTGTTCAAGTTCAACCCATAAAAAAACACTACCACGGACAACAAACTTTATAACCAGAGAATAAAACAACTCTAATGTTTGGTACAACTTTTTCTCAAACAGTCAATAGATGAAATCAACTACCAGTAAACTGTCAAAACTCAAAAACAAAAAATATTTTTAAAAACAATTATGATAAATTTAGAAAAAATGAAAATTTAAAAGTACTATAAATGGTTTTTATATAGCAATTTTTCATGACTTGTCAGTGCAGTTTGAACTAACATTTTATTTAAAAACTTTGGCATTTAAAATTTGCTGAATGGTCACACACAAGCAGTGAACACCCGAGGGAAGAATGAAGTACATTAGAATAAAGAAGAATTATTTATCGAACGAACCATATTTTGACAGTTGTCAAGACAAAAATAAAGAATAATAGAGGAAAATTTCAAAACAAGTGAGACAGACAACACATCCAAGCAGTACTCACAATAATAATAACAAAAAATTGTTTCATAAAAAACTAGTACGTACAAAGATATACAACAAATATATAACCAAAATAATTTTTTTTTTTTTTTTAAAAAAAAAAACAAAAAATTGATAAACAAAAAACTTAAAAAATAAAAAAATAAAAAAATAAAAAAACAAAAACTAAAATTATGGATAAAACAATGTAAGGCCTCAGAATGGAAAAAGAACATTAATGCTAATGTGTGAACATAATTAATGTAGTGATAAAGTAATAAACATCTCCTCAGAGTCGCGTCTATTATTACAGGCGTTTCGATGAGGATCAGCACTTATAACTAGTTTATCCCGTCAGACAAACGTCATCGCCACTTGTGCTTTACCGATGCAGTATTTTTACTGCAGTATGGTCTGCGACTTACGCCTTATCCATACTGCAGTAAAAAAGGACTCACTACAAATAGCCAAAACCCAACCAACCCAAAATTTGAAAAACAGTAATGTTTTTTTATTAAGAATTTTGAAAAAATGAAAATTTAAAAGTACTATAATTGGTTTTTATATAGCAATTTTTCATGACTTGTCAGTGCAGTTTGAACTAACAATATTAATAAAATCCTTATTGATTGTAAGAGAGTTTATAATTATATTCTATTATTAGACTTTCTTATTAGACTTATTATTAGACTTGTTATTAGACTATTTTAGACAAGATGAGATATAAGAAAATTTGTTAACTAAAAACTCAAAGACCTTGCAAATAACAGTAAGTAGACTGATTGAATAATAATTTGTTAACTAAAAACTCAAAGACCTTGTAAATAACAGTAAGTAGACTGATTGAATAATAATTTGTTAACTAAAAACTCAAAGACCTTGTAAATAACAGTAAGTAGACTGATTGAATAATAATTTGTTAACTAAAAACTCAAAGACCTTGTTAATAACAGTAAGTAGACTGATTGAATAATAATTTGTTAACTAAAAACTCAAAGACCTTGTAAATAACAGTAAGTAGACTGATTGAATAATAATTTGTTAACTAAAAACTCAAAGACCTTGTTAATAACAGTAAGTAGACTGATTGAATAATAATTTGTTAACTAAAAACTCAAAGACCTTGTAAATAACAGTAAGTAGACTGATTGAATAATAATTTGTTAACTAAAAACTCAAAGACCTTGTTAATAACAGTAAGTAGACTGATTGAATAATAATTTGTTAACTAAAAACTCAAAGACCTTGTAAATAACAGTAAGTAGACTGATTGAATAATAATTGGAATGATCTCAAGAGTTTTTAAAAACTAGATTCAGCATCTTTATTAGTTATTGCATCTGTTAAAGGAGTGCAGATAAATAAATATATATATATATATATATATATATATATATATATATATATATATATATATATATATATATATATATATATATATATATATATATATATATATATATATATATATATATATATATATATATATATATATATATATATATATATATATATATATATATATATATATATTGAACACAACCAATGCTGTTTATATTATACATGTATAATTATAAAATAGTAATATCCACTCAATGCGCAAAACTCACTTTTTCATAATTTTCAAAAGATAAAATAAGCTTCATTCAATTAAGCACTTTTTAAAGAACAAAGTTTTAGAGAACAATTGAAGATAGGTCTGTAGAACACTTTTTGTAAAACTGTGACAGAAATATTATCTGGACCACAAACTGTAAAAGAGTTTAAGTGATTAAAAAACTATAGCAACATTTATTAATGACCTGTTTCTCAGGGATGGCGGGAAGATTGTGGTCATTAGATTTAAGAGCTAAATTATACGAAAGATTCTTAACAAAAGGTTTTGGTACTTTATACTGATTATTTTAGTAATTAATTAAATAATACTTATTATTTTGGTAATTAATTAAATAATACTCATTATTTTTGTAATTAATTAAATAATACTCATTATTTTTGTAATTAATTTTGGTAATAATTAAAGAGCTGGACTCAATCATAGATACTGAAAAACACCCTGAGCACTAAATTGTGTGGTTACCTTATTTCTTCTAATCAATCCAAAAAAATAACCAAGGGCTCCTTACGCAGATTAAACAATTCACATTAAAAACATATTAACAGGAACATCTTTAATGTGGTACAAGGCACTGTTGAAACTCTTATATTTACCAGTTTTTGATGGAACATAAGAGCTACCAAAGAGTTCAAAACACTTAACAACCACCTGGCCTTAGAACCGTGAAAATGAGTTTTATAGTTGTACCATCTGTAGGAAATAACAGAAAATAACCGAGATAACAGAAAGAGTTTCATATTTACTAATTAGAAGGCATGAGCAACAACCGATAATTAGAGTCAAGAAAATCCAGTATTGACTATTCTAAAAATGTAAGACAAGTTTATCTAAGATAGCCTATTAGATATAGAAAGGGTAAAAGGCTACTCAACAATGATTTTCTGTTAACTCATAAATAGTATGATTTAAAAAGTCATTACTTATAACATGTATTATTATTATTAAAAATATTTTTAAAATTTTTAATTTTTCCTACCTTTATCTTCTACATAATAAATGATAAAATTTATTTATTTAACACATAATTTAAAACTAACCTGAGCAGCAATATGAGATAGAGGCAAATAACTAATCAGCTGATGCTGAAAGCTATCATTTTCAATTCCTAATAGTCGTACAACACATATAGTATTAATACAGATCTACAAAAGAAATAATTACAATTAAAACAATAATATAAGGTTAAAAAAAATTTAAAAATAACATAAATTTTATAACAGTTCTCACAAAAAAAATTAACTCCTTTTAAGTACTTAATAGAGGAATTGGGCCCTTGTTTAACAACAACTTGAACTACATTGGAAGCAACCACCTCTGAGTGCGACTTGGGAATTTAAATTACCAATGATATTAAAGTAGAAACTCAATCCGTCATTGCCTTGTGTAAAGCAAATAAAATGCTAGGCATCCTTAAACACACTTTCCAATCTTGTGATGCTTCTTTATGGAAACAACTCTACTCCACCTATATCGGTCCTTTACTTGAGTTTGCAATTCCAGCTTGGAACCATTTGGTGAAGGATGAACAAACTATTGAGCTAATACAACGCAGAGCCACAAAATCTACTTTAGTTGAACGTTGTAAATAAGGTGACTTAATCCAAAAATACAAAATTATTAATAACATTGACATAGTCAACTGGCACTTTCCCCTCATTATAATTCCACCAAGAGCAAATCACAAAGAAAGACTTCACCGTGAAAAGTACAGCAACCATTTAGCTTGCTTCCACTTTTTTAACAATTGTATTGACAATGCATGAAACATGCTACCAGATAAAGTAATCAATTCTCCAACTGTCAACAGCTTTAAAGCGAGCTTCAATAAGTTCCAAAGTTACGACAGCTCGCAGCGTCCCTTAGTGAAAATTGCAATATAAGCTTCACAAAAACTAATTATAATCTGACAATCTATGATTTGTATTTTGTCAATTATTTTTACTTTTGTTGTAACAAACGTATACTACTACTAAATTATTATTTGTTAACATTATTATAACTGTAGAGATAATGTAAACATATATTGGTAACAATAATAACAATAATATTGAAAACATTTTGTTAAAAGTCCATTGCCAAACTTGGCATCAAACTTTTTTAATTTATTTATCTAATCATTTTTTATTTCAATGTAGAAATCATAAGAAAACTGTTTCAAAAACTCTATAGTTAGTTGGTTATTAAAAAGATTTTTAGCTAATTTCAGTGAATTTTTGTTTAACCATTTATATACAATGTATATAAATTTTACAACACTGTAACCAAAATGTTCAAACTAACAACAACCATAACTTCTAATATTTAATCATTACATAAAGATTTATAGACTTAAATTTATTTTTAATTTTCAACATTGATTGAGTGATATTTCAATCAATGAGTAACTAAAGAGAAAAAATAATAAATTAAAAAATGTTTAATTATTTTAAAAAAATCAACACATAATGGGGACTTTTGTGAAGGTTGTTTTCAGAAAAATTAGTAGATTTTTTCATAATTTAGACAGTGAATGTTATTGTAGAGTACACTGTCTTTTCTAAAACTAATAAGTCAAACACTTTTGTTATAACAAACAGTATAATATATACTAATACATTTTATAATACATATTATATAATACTGATATCTTTATTAAAATTTACATATAATTAACAATTAATATTTTATAAATTTTATTTAAAATTTGTGAGTTCAACTAAGATATATTTTGGATTGTTTGTGCTCATAAAACCCTACTGATTTCTTTTGCTCATATATATCCTACTCGCTTCTCATGGGATTATGTTTTGCACAAGAAACTCAATAAAAATAAAATATGTCAAGGCCCTCTAATGCAAACATGCAAACAAAAACTTTGAAAAAGTATCTTTAGGTTACTTTTTCAAAGTTTTTGTTTTTTTAATTATAGTTTTGCACTGTTAATTAGTCACATTTTAGTCATTTTTTTGTTTAAAACAACGATGACCCACCCAACAAGACATAATTTAAATTTTTTTTTTTCAGATTTGGAATCTCCATAAAATTCTTCACCAAATGTATCCTTGGTGTTTTTGAAATTAAAAAAAAAATCAACATACCCTAGTGGGTATAAATATATTTTCATATCTTTAAAATACTTACATTGTCATGTGAAAGCATTACTCCTTTTGGATTGCCAGTTGTTCCTGACTATAAAAAAAAAATGATTTGTAAACAAAAGCACACAACTCATTAAAACAGTGAAAAAAATAGATAAAACTTGAAAGCATGATATTATTGACAATTTAGACAAAAACTTGAAAGCATGATATTATTGATTCACACTTTATAAAATATCAAATAATTTTTCAAACAAAAGAGTTCAGATCATAATTATCTATTGTTATACTATAAAAATGCTTTGAAATTGCAACTTTCTGAAGCCAATAAACAAATCAGAACTTCATTTTTCTAAGCTTCTCCAAGCAATACTAGCATAATTTAAATGACTATCTATAAATAAGTAATAATGTAAAATAAATGTGTTCTATGTAATAAAAATATACTAGAACCAAAAATTTTTTGAAAAAAAAATATTTTTAGGGGTCCCTCAAGACCCTTGAACATCAGACAGGTCACTAATATCATCAAAAAAAAAGTTTATTAAAAGTTTGCCATGTTGGGTTTCAAAAGAAGCAAAACTTCAATGATCTCTCTCTTTATTAATACTAAATGAGCAAAATATGATTGTACCAACTTTTGATTCTGACTGATGTGTAAAGATTTATGACAATGAAATATACTGTCCTATTAATTTATTTTGGATATTAGACAGTAAATATAAAATGATTGATGGTTGTGAGGTTGATAGTAAAACTCAGTGGTTGATTAAGACTTTTCGGGGCCTAGGGCTATTTTAAAGCAGGAAGCCCCTTTCCACGACATTATTCAAAAATTTTATTTCCAGAGTACCATTTGAAAAAAAACTTTTTTAAATTGGGGTTACCAAAACTGCAGGGCCCAAGGCTTTAGCTCCCTGATGCCTTTAATCCAGCACTGGTAAAGTAATTTTAAGTTCTATGCTATATGTTTGGTCAAAAAGTAATTTTAAGTTCTATGCTATATGTTTGGTCAGATTTCTTGACTTTACATAATGCATAGAACAATTAACATGCTAAAGAAACGACTACCATTTATAAACAAAGAAAAACAAGATCACAGCAAAAATTTCAGACCAATATTGTAACCAAGCAAAAATCGTCTAAATAAACAAATAAAATAAATAAACTATGTAAACAAAGAAAAGAAAAAGATTCGTATTTGGGAGTTCAAGAGTTGAGAGAGGGTTGCAACCACAAAAAAGTAGCCTCCTGAACTGTACTGGTCTTCTTGCCTTGAGAATGGGAACAATAAAAAAAAAAATGCACCAATTATAAATAAAAATGTAAAATAATGGGTAAAATTAAGACAAAAATTTCAAAATAAGTAGCTAAAAGCAATATTAATTTGTTTACGCATTGCGCATAATCTGTAGGTAGTGGTCAAGGAGAACTAAAGTTCAAAAACTATTAAAAAAATTTTTTAATATTGTCTTATTATCTCACAGTTTATTTATTTAGTATAGTATATTTATATATATTCTATATTTATGTCTATATATTTATTGAACAGAGGAAAATAAACTTATCTAAACAATTTATTTATGTCACTTACAGTGTAAATTAGAATGCAACATTTATTTGGAGCTTGCATGTTTACTCGTTGCTCAAGAATTGAATCATCAACATTTCTGCCAATTTCCATAAACTCACTCCACTAAAAATCAAATTTAAATTAAAAAATATATACTTTTTATTCAAGATTATGACCTAGGCAATATTTTTTTTGTCAACTTTTTTTAATTGTCCAAATTTATTCTTACATCAGATTAAATTATTTGTTATATACCATTTTTTTATGTTGTGTCTCAAAACTGAAGAATACAAAACTGAAGTCCATAAAACTCAGTTAGATATCGATTGCTGCTACTTGGCTTATCTGCAACTTCATATGTAAAAAAAGACCTTGGTTTACACCCCATACAAGGTTCAGTTAACTCAAGAACTTCTCGAAACAGACCATCACAAGTGTATAATATTCAGTGATTAGATTAGCAACTAAAAATTGATACTGATTTTGCTTTAAACATCATTTTCAGTGATAAATATTATTTCACCTTAATAGAAATGTGAAAAAGCAAAATTGTCATATTTGGGCATCAAAAAACAACCAAAAAGAAAAAAATGGGTCTTTATCCAAATGAGTGACTGTCTGGTGTGCTTTATCAGCCAAAGAAGTAATTGATTCATATTTTGTTGAAAATGCTGTCAGATAAACAGTTACAGTGACTGGTAATAGCTATTGACAAATGCTCAAAAGCTTTTTATGGCATATTTTCAATAATATGGACCTAGAAAACTTTTTCAGCAGGATTGTACCACATGCTACACAGCTCAAGAGACAATAGTTTTATTGAGATCCAAGTTTCCAGATGGAATTACTTTACATAACGTTAAGGTCAACTGGCAATAAAATCATGTGATTTAGCCCCTTTCGACTATTATTTTTAGGGTTTTTTTAAACAAAGCATTTATGCTGATACTCTAAAAACAATTGAGGACCTCAAGAGAGCTGAGTTTATTCAACCAACTTAACTTTATTTTCTTAATACTTCAAAAAATATTAAATGACTTCTGAAATTGTGTGTTTAATGCTAATATTTAATTAGCATTATTGCCATAATAATACTTAATCATAGAAATATTAATAATGTAGTTTATCAAAAACAAATTTGTTTACTTGATATATAATTTTATAAATTGTACTCATGTTTTTGTATATTTATAAATTTTGTATAGCGTTTCAGAATATTCAGATTTCACCCAGACTTAATAGGTTTGTTCAATTTGCTTAAAAGTTCTGAAATCTAAAATCTTATTTTAAAAAATCTAAAGTTAGATAAAAAAATTTCAAACAAACTATAGACTAAAAAACTTTTTATTCTTCTTTTTAACCTTCAAAATATTTTAAAAATCTCTTACTGTATATAAATTGGGTCTTTTTTCTTTAATTTCACCAGTATATTGCACAACAGCGTGTAAAAAAGGTAGTTGATCCCAAAACTAAAGTAAAAAAGATTGCTACAGTTGTAGATAACAATTTTTTATAATATATTTATTTTCAAACATTACTGTTCTAATAGTATAATAATAATTATTAATAATGAATTAATAATTTAATAATGAAAATTATCTTAATAATTTAGTTACCAGCTTACTTTATTTATTAGTTTATATATTATTAAGACTATATTTTTTTATATTAATTTATTTCATAAAAATAATTTTTTCTAATAATCTAAATATTTATTACTGTTTAAATTTTGCTAAAAATTAGGCTTAATTACTTCAAATGAATAAATAGATATTTAACCGTCCAAAACACGTCCAAAACGTGCTTTAGGCATATTTAAAACTTTATACATTTTAATGTCTTTAATACATCTTTGTTTTTTTTTTCTATCAACTATGACTCAGAAACAAATAGTTGGCAACATTTTAATATTTTAACTTCAGTTACAAAACTTCTACAAATATTGAAATGTTACAAACTTTATTTACTAAGTTCATAACGTTCAATATTTTTTTAATTTAAAACTATTCACAATTCATTTAATGGAAACAGTATTCGCTTATGTATGATTCGCTTATGTATGATTCGCTTACGTATGATAGTGCTAATGTATGATTCAAACAACTTTTAAATGTTTTGAAATTCAATGTAGACTCTAGGGAATGGTGATAATTTCCATTTTGCTAAAACACTTAACAGTGGTACCCATACCAACTATTTGCACTACTGATTCAAATTACAGTGCACTTTTTTTATTTATTTTATTCCAAACAATGTTTTCAATAAACAATGCTCATTTTGGTACTTTCAAAATCTAAATTGTATAAAAACTTTTTATTGTTAACTTGTGTTCATTTGGTGCAACTGTGCCTCATTAATGTTTTACTTTGTATGAATTGTAATACTCTACTAAAAACCTATAATTTTGATGTTCAGAATTGTACCTTTTAATAACTGTTATAATAAAAAGTATAAATATTTTAGATACTTTAATTGTTTTATAGTAAATAAAGAGTTGTTTTTTTGTTTTGTTTTTTTAATATTAAGGTTTTACAATAAATTATGTAGACATAAACTGCCTGTCAACCTAGTTATATAATACTTGACAATTACAGAGTTTGTATAACTAATAGAGAATAAAATGTGGATTAGTCGTAGAAAAGCTATTCATTTTTTAGATGATTGTCTAGAAGCAGCTGAAACGTTTTTAGAGATAACACTGATGCAATGTCATTAGGAAGAGAGTTCCATTTATTTATTATTCTTAGAGAAAAAAAAATTCATACATAAATTTAATCGTGAAGATTGTTTTTTTAGTTTATATAGATGACCACGAGTAATAAATTGGCTCTCTGCAATCAAAAAACTTCTATTACAATTGTTATTTTTGCACCATTTATAGATGTTAATTAGATCTGTACAAAATAGCCTGTATTTTACAGTTGTCATATTTAACACCAACAATCTTTGTTCATATGGTAGATAGTATAATCCATTTATTTGTTTCGAAGCTCTTCTTAACACATTTTCTATTTGCTGTTTGTCATTGAGAAGTCCAGGGTTACATATCCTAGGTATTCTAGGTGAGGGTGGACAAGAGCTGAAAATAGTTTTTTGAAGGATAATAAATCTGGATATGATGTAATTGTTCTTTTTATTATTTCTATTATTTGTGTGGCGTTGTTGACTTAAATAGTTATGTGTTTGGAAAATAACAAGTTCGAATCTATGTGAACATATAAATCTCATTTCCAATTTTTGGGTTTAATGTTTACTCATATTTTTTTCTGGATCATGCATATTATAAGTATGAGATTCGTTGTTGTGTCCAAAAAGCATTACAGAACATTTAAACTGTTAAATTTCGTTTCCCATTTTTGTTTTGTCTAAGTGGTCTGTGCATCCTGGTTAGTCTTAAATGTTACCAGTGCACTTTAGGTACGTACACACATTGAAAAAATTTTTTAACAATATCCCTGTTATAACCCTATCAGAGTTAGGATAAAAACAAACATCTAAAACAGTTTGTCTCTATTTATCCTTCATGCGGGATCAATAGGGACAGACAGAAAACAAAAAAATAATGTTAGCCATTATTTTTATTTTTCAATTAATGCATAATTTCATGGGAGCAGTAATGCCAATACTTAGCATCGAAAAATGCAATCACTAAACTATATCTCAGTCAATGGTACTAGAAAAACCTTAAAAGCTGTCCCTACCCCCAATTTATGGTATATCTTGTTTTGAAATGAATCACTTTTCTTTTAGCGCTAGCGCAGTTTGTATTACCTCACCCCACCCCCAATTTTCTTTTACTTTGACTTTCAAAGTAAAAAAAAAAATTATACACCAATATTTTTGGGGATAATTTACATTATGGTGTATTTGTTATTAGGACTACAATGTAACTGTTGATTTCGATGTTAAGAACATCTCATAAATATTCTGATTTTTATTGATAAAACTAATTATAGGAATTTTTTTAAATTTTAAATAATTTTTTTTTAACTAGTTTTTTTTTTTTTTTTGTTTGGCTTTTTATTGAACATCGGTTAACGGTGCTTCCCTCAGCCAAATAATAAATGGGTTAGTTAAATATTATAGCAAATATTATAGTATGATATTTTGTTGACTACGACATATTTCCGTTAAATGATCATGTCTGTGAATTATGAAAAGAAGAAAAAAGTTACAAAGATAAATTTTGCTCTATCATAAAATATAAATGTTTGTCGCGAAAAAACACAGACCGAAGATTCTATTTTTAGTAAAAAAATCTTCTTAAAATCTCAATCGCTTGTCCAAATTTGAATAAAATTTTCAATAAATACGTTTTTTAGGTGAAATGAACATCAAAAAATTGCCAATAAACAATCAGAACAGATCATATTATTATATGATCTGTTTTGATCTTTTATTGGCAATCTTTCTTAATCATAAGCTCTTTCTTGGTCGGAATTCTAGTATTTTTGGTGAAAATTGATAGAAATATTGTATTTTGACAGCTATATATAGTTAATATACATCAGAACTGATTAGAACTAGGTTCTATAGTGGGTTAAAGCACTTTTTAAAAAGCTTTCAACTAATTTCATGTTAACACCAATGAGTGAAAGTGATCTAAAGACTCCAAAATGGTGTTCTTTAGATTCACTATTAGAGGTAGTAAAAAGCTTTTGAAAATTATATTAAAAAAAGTTTTTTTAAATATTAAAAAAACCTTAAGCAAAAAAAATATATAACATCTAAAGCTCTTGTTTGGACATAATACGCTGATAAAATCATGCTAATTCCAAATAAAAGAACTCAAATAATTTGTAAATCGGTTGGTACCAAAGTTTAACGAACCTTTGTCATCGGTCTAAAACTCAACCAATTACCAATTACTAATCTTATTTGGTAACTAATCTTATTCGGTAAACAAAGTTCAAACAAAAATTATTCAATACGTGTATACATTGAAAAATATGTATACATTGAATAATATAAGAACGGATATTTTTAATGTATACGCATTATTTTGAATATATATATTATTTTTTTAATGTAATGTAATTTTTTTTTTAATTCACCTCCCAAAGGCCGAGAAGGCCACTATAGGCGAGAAGGCTATTTAAATGTGGTTATAACCCTCTCTCAAATCTATAACTCCGAAACACAAACCTTGACGAACAAGGCCGAGCGCGGAGAAACAAGTTGAGTGCGGTACTCAGGGACGTGCGGTACCAGGGACGTGGTGGGGAACGAACTTGAATCCTCTCACTCATAAGCGAGTGCTCTACCACTACACCACTACCACATAAAGATAAAAAACCGCATAAACTTTTTAAAAAATATTAAAATCAATAAATACTGGTAACAATTAAATGTTAAACAGCGATAATAATAAATAAGTAATTTAGAAATAATTGTAAATGATGTTATCACAAAAAGTAACCTGATTCAAACATCAACACTAAATTTTAAAATTTATAATAATGACATTAAAGTTAAATAAAAATAATAATAATAATAATAATAATAATAATAAATACCAATGATAAATGTGTTTATTATATTATGTTACGTATAACTATGTACATCAAAATAACAAAAGTGACGATAAAAAAGTAAATAGTAATAAGTGTAAACAAAAAAAAAAAGAGTACTAATAGAATGCAATATTAAAAATAAAAAGCAAATAAAAATAATTGTTACAAATGTTTTGAAAAATGTGTATTATATTTTTTGAATATTAAAAATATATATATACAGGGCTGGTGCGAGTAAGTGTCACATAGTGGGTGGGGGTGCCATAACAATTTTGACAACTAAAAAAAAAAACTCCTTGTTTTTTGAAATTTCCCGACTGCCTAGTCGACATTTGCCCACAGACTGTCTAAATTTGTCGAATGACAGTCTAAATTTGTCGGCTGACTGTCTAAATTTGTCGACTAAACTGTCTAAAGGGTCTACATTTCCCATTATGTTCTATTAGAAGCAACATGCAAAAGATGGTATCAACGATTCAGAGATAATGGTTTTGATGTGAGAAGTAAAGAACGTGGAAGACCACCGAAAAAGTTTGAAAACGTCGAATTGCAAACAATATTGGATGGAGATAATACATATAACTCGACAAGCGTTTGATGCGTTTATGCAGTACTTTTCTTTAAGTGAAAATAAAAAATAAATGCTTTCCGCAAATCATCATTTTTCAGTTTAAAAAAATTGACATTATAACACGATAAAAAAAGTGTTGTTAGTTTAATGACTTGATGCATTTTAAACATGTTTGAACGGTGTGAAAACAACCAAACAATGAGAAAGTTCTTCATAAATTCAAATTTAATGAGACCAAGTAAAAGAATTTGCTTCATTTCCTGGCTCTTATTTGAAGAGAGTTTCCGAATGAGATAGCAATGAGTCTCTCACTGCATTTTTTTTTTTTTTTTTTTTTTATTTTTACAAAACGTTATCATTGTATAAGGACCGACGAAGTTGACTTTTAAAAACATAAATTAACTGGAAAACGAACTTATACTTTATGCGTACACGTATGAAAAATAACAATTTTTTTGCTGCTGTTTTTCATCTTAGCAAATAGTTCAGCTTTAAAGCTGAATTGTTTGCTAAGTTAAAAAAAATATATCGTGATACCAATACATAAATCAGGTTCGTTCAATGAATTCGACCAATCTCTGTCTTGCCAATTTTTATAAAAATCTTGAACGCATCATACAATCGCAATTATCGGACTACTTAGAAACCTTTTTTTGATAAAAGTCAGTTTGGTTTTCGAAAGAATAGATCTACAGAATTAGCTACAGGTATTTTTGTGAATACTCTACGAAAAAATATTACTATCTGAAAATTGGTTGATTTGGTGTTTATGAACCTTTCAAAAGTGTTTGACATTATTAGCATCAGTGCGAAATAGTTGAAAACACTGGCATAAACGCGAATCGACATAAGTGCGCAGAAAGAATTTGCAAAGGTTGAGGCGCAGAAAGAATTTGCAAAGGTAAGTGCAAACTGGTGTAAGTGCAAATGGCTTAAGTGCAGATCCTATGCTAGTGTTTTCAAATTTTTTTAGCGCACTTATGCCAATTTTTGAACTTTTTTTTTGGCGCACATGTGCTAGTTTGAAACCAATATATTATATATATATTATATATATATATATATATATATATATATATATATATATATATATATATATATATATATATATATATATATATATATATATATATATATATATATATATATATATATAAATGAAATAGTTGCAAAAACTGCCATAAACGCAATATATATATATATATATATATATATATATATATATATATATATATATATATATATATATATATATATATATATATATATATATATATATATATATATATATATATATATATATAATACATATATCGCGATAAACGCGATATATTTGTATTTGTTTTAAAAACGATAAAATTGAAAAAAAAAGATTATAGAAAATGTGCAGCAGATAAAATTTAAAAAACTTATCATTATAACATAATATAAGTAATTTAAAAATTAATTCAAAAATCTTGAAAAAAAAACCTCTAAAATCTTCTCAAGTTGAAATTCATTTTCAACAACAACAATATTGCAATGAGAGTCTTCACAAATAAAGTGACACATCTCCGAACTATTTGTAGGGTAAATACCAGCGACTATTCCTCTAAATAAAACGAATAGGGGTTAAGAATAAAAGAATTATTTACACCAAGACTTTATACGAAGAAAGAATTTATATTTATACTATTACCCCCAGTCTTTACACTAATTAAGCCTCAGAAGTTGCCTTTAAATCATGTCTATCCCAGCGGGCATTTGTTTTTTAAAGTTACGTTCTAAATGTATTTTAAATGTCTTTTAAACGTCTTTTAAATATTCTTACGTAAAGAACGTTTAAAAGACGTTTAAAAGACGTTTAAAAACATTTAGAACGTAACTTTGAAAAACAAATGTCCGCAGGGATGGGTTAAGTCAAAATTCTTTAAACATTTATTTTGATATGAAAGAATTTTATATAAATAAATAAAACTTAAACAATTGCAATTGTACATCAAACTCATAAAATTATTTTAAAAAAAAGGTTTGTGCTAGTAATAAGATCTGAAAAATTATTACCCCAAAAATGATTTTTAAGAGAAAACAAATTAAACTAGAGATCACTGATTCTCACTGAAACAATCAGTGAGAATCAGTGGGTGCTCTAAAAATGGTTGGGTTACAGCTGATCTTTTCAAAGAGTTTTTTTTATAATTAAGATTTTTACAAAACTTATACAAAAACTTCATTTTTATTTTTAATTTTGTAAAAAGAAAAAAAAATTTAAAAGAAAAATTTTAAATTCTAAAAAGATTTTAAAGAAAATTTGTCAATGAATTGAAATTTAGTATAAGTTAATAAATAAGAAAAATTTTATCAAACTATTGCCCTCGCTTTTGGAGAGCCGGAAATCTTTTGTGATATTTTTGGTCACGGGCTCCAATCATCGCATTTTTTTGGAAATCATTTATTAGTTGACACAATCATGAACTTAAGTTTAGAGTTTTCAAAATGCCTGAAAGTGTCATATTGGAAGCATTAAAAACTGACTGTATTAGATACTTTAGCCATCAGTATCTCATTTTAACCTCGTTAGCTATGGTAAGAAATAATTACAATTAATTATTTTTTTTCAGATTCACGGTGCCATTCACGGTGATTCATTCATTCACCGTGCCGTTTCAATGCCAAAAGTCAAAGTAAAAAAATTTTCTTTTGTAATTATTATAGTTATGAATAAATATTCAAAAAGAAGGAAATAAAGTAATTGCTTTGTTTTTTATCACTTTTTATATTAAGAAAGAGCGCCAGCAAGACATTAACCAAACATCCTTGTGTTATTTGAGATGCAAATAATATTAAGATGACATTTAGGGGTTTATAAAAAACGTTCAAATTACCCCTTTAAGATTGTTTGTAATTGCCCCGTAAAACGAAACAAATGAAATAGAACTTTTGTAGACATACGCAAAATGTAATACTTGTAAAAACTCCTAAACTATGATAATTAGCAACAAGTAAAAATAACTGACTTATTTCTCCTATTACATGAATATAGTAGCTGTGGTTGTTGTAACGCAGCCGTGGCGTAGTGGTTAGAGTTCTGGATCATAACCCATAGATCTGAGATTTGACGCCGGTTCCAACCTAATAAGCAGCATTGGAAAAGGAGGGAGGCGTGAGCTTTCTAGTTAAATGGTCCTGGTGTTCTGTGATGTTCTGTTAAATGTTCTGTTCTGTGATAAGATTGTAAGGACTTCTAAGAGCACCTTAAAAACTACAAAAAAAAAAAAAAAAAAAGAAAAGAAAAACCTTTTAAGCAAAATATACATCAAAGTATGACTAAAAGTTTCGATCAACGTACCGTGAACAACGTGTGTGACTTCACTACAACACTCCACGTTTGGAAGCGTGGAACCTCATACTTTTTAATGGAAGTTACTTCGTACTATTTATTTTCCTAATGCTATTTCTGAAGCTAATTACGAAGCTATTTATTTTCCAACTTCTTTAATAAAAAAATGGGCTGTGTCTGTTCAACAAAATTGAACCTTTTTTAGGATATTGGTATTAAATATAACCCAAATAAATACCTATTAATAGAAACAAAAATGTAACCCAAGTGAAAGCCTAATAATAGACAGTTCATCCAGGAGCCTCAAAGCCGTGTATTGCGTCACATCCGACCATTCCGAGGCTAAGGTTAGAGCTAATACCTTTGTTGGACCACAGATTAAGAATGCAAAAAGTTAAACTAGCTCCAAAACAGGAAGGAGAGAGAAAGGTTTTGAACCGTTTTGTTGCAGTTGTTCACCGTTTCTTTGGCAATCACAAGTTTGAAAACAATGTGAAGTTGGCTCAGATTCTTTTAAAGAACGACGTTAAATTGAAACGCAGAATGTCACATAAAATCCATTTCCTCAACACTTATATCTATAAGTTCAAGGAGAAGCTAGACAAGCGCTTTTGTTCGGGACTATATTTAAAGGCTTTGTGAAATTTTCATTGTGAAATTAATTTGCAATACACTTGCAAATCTAAAAAGTCTACTTATTTCTAAAAATTTTAAAGTGAATTTTTATAATCAATATGCAATTGTTTTTCTTACCAGACCGAATGGGCAAAAATGTAAGATTTATTTTGTGCTGTCTAAATAAAAATAGTTTTCTTTGTGGTATAGTCATAAAATCAAATTTTTGCATTTAATATAATTGCTTTTCCATAGTCTTTAGATGTAAGAAATTAAAATAAAAACTTTGAGAAAAATTCTATTGCATAGTGTAATTACACAACAATGTTTTGAAGTTGATTATAATTTAGTTTGGCTTTTGAAAAAAAAAACTGAAAAAACATTTGAAATAAAAAAAAAACTTACAAAATGTATATTTAGATTGCAAGTTTTGATTGAAATTTTTTTTTAGAAATAGTAAAAATTTCATAATAACATTACCCTGCAAAGATTGCCCCAACATCAGCAAAAAACCATTCCGGTGAATTGGAACCGAGTATACCAACACTGTTTGACGGTTCTAAACCAAGCTGAAACAAATTTTTAAATGCATAATGACAATACAAAAAACATAGTTTATTGAAAAAAAATATGGAAAAAAGTTTTTTAAAATGTCTTCATCACAAAGTTTAAAATTATGTAATAATAAAGAATCAATCTCACTTTAATAAACGCTTTAGCTGCTGTTCTTACTTCCTCCAAACACTTTTGAAATGTCCAAGAAATCCACTTTCCTTCTTTTTCTACTTTGATGGCGGTTCGATTAGAAAACTTATTTACTGCCCGCATATAAAATTCTGGAATGGAAATGGCTGGAGAGTTAGATAAACTGTCTTCAGTACCTGAAAAACGTATTTTGACTGCTTCTTTTCTATTACAGGTCCAATACTCTTTTGCTTCAGCAAGCTTGCACGCAACACCAATGTTTTCTGATACTTTAGTTTGAGACATTTTCAAAATCTGTTCTTTTATACACGTTATCTTATTTCTACATTAGTATGTACAAAATTAATATGAAACTTTAAAATTAGAGTTGAGCTTTTGGGTTAAAAAAACAATTTAAAAAACGCCAAAACTTGTTCTAACACATTGTGAACTTCAGTCAATAAATTTAATAAGTGCTTTTAGTTTTGATTGTTTTGATTGTTAAATCTTAACCAAATTTGGAACAAAGTACACTCTTTTTTTCAAAGTACACAGCATTTCAAAACACCAGTTTGTAACTAAAAGTAATTGCTATTTTGCGATTAATTAATAATGTATAACTATTAATAGCTTTCAGCAGCAATTCAGTTTCTATATATATATATATATATATATATATATATATATATATATATATATATATATATATATATATATATATATATATATATATATATATATATATATATATATATGTATATATATATATATATATATATATATATATATATATATATATATATATATATATATATATATATACAGAGCCGTGGCTAAGCTTCCCCACACCCTCCGATTGGGGAGGGGGCAGAAATTTTAGGAGCCTGTTCTGAAATTTTGTTTCCAAACAGGCCCCCTAAAAAACAAAACAAACATTTTGGGGTATTTTTGTTTCCAGGCTCAAATCACCGCAGTTTTTTGAAAAAAAAAAAATTCTTATTTAACATAAGTATATACTTTTATATACTTGGAGTTTTTCATAATGCTTGAAAGTGACATATTGAAAACATCAAAAAACCTTGCCTCTGCTTTGAACTTGGTAAATATTATTTACCAAGTATTCTTTATCTTATTCACATTAAGTCATAAAATTTAAATACATGAAGCTTTAAATTTTCAAACCGAACATGTAATTAAAAAAAATACTTAAAGAAACAAGTAAAACTACTTATCCTTTTATTCTTTTTAAAGCAATACTATAGTAGTTCATTGATTCTCAGGTTTTTTCTGTTCGCTAATATTATAGATATTGTTCAATATTTTATTAATTTATAAATTTTGTTAATGTTTTTAATAATTTCTCTTGTCCTACTTTTGGTCTTGTCATTATCAAAAGTTCTTTTAAATATTTTGACTTAACTGCATAACAACAGCCCATAATTTATGTATTGTTACAAGATAATTATTAAGAAGAAAAATTGTCACATATGAAGTCAACCGTCATATCAAAACAACACATCTGTTGAACCCTTAGATGCTTATATTATAGATGCTTATTATCTCAAGTATTATTTTAAACTTCTCAATAATTATTATGGTTACAATCACATACCAGATTATTGTTTCAGCAGTAAACTGTTTAATAACAATAAATCGCACTTTTTATTCTTAAAGTTGCGCTATTATGCCGGGAAAATTAATACTTTTTAAATCCCATTATTGAACGGAATCAAATGTATTAAATTATACGTTATCAATTAGATATGAGGAGAAAAAAAAGCAGGATTATTTTATCTTTATTTCCTTGCATATCAGATTAACGTAAGAGGTTTATAGTAATATTAAAACACATAAATAATATTTTTTTTATTTAGTGTATTATTGTAAAGAAGTTTGATTTTATAAAGTAAGTTTTAGAAAATACAAAGTTTTAAATTATTTTTTTTTTAATTTTCCCTTAAGTTCTTTAAGGTTTATTTGGTTCGCGGGTAATCGAAAATCTAAATTGCTATTAATCTAGCATTGACTTCAAGAACACAACTTACAAAGTATATATGCGACATTCAAATATTTTAAGAAATTGTAACAAAAATTTAAGCTCCCAACTAAATAATAGAAGAATAAAATCTTTCTGTAATAAATATTATAATAAATAATAGATAAATAAATAGCAAATCATTTTAGCGTATCTTATTGGACGATTAGCAATATGATCGGGCCACAAATATTTTTCTCATCAGGTTGGGTTTTGAACTATTTAGTGATAATAAATACAAAATTATATAGCAATAAGTAAATAAAAAGTCATCATAAATTTTGAGAGAAAGGAAATATGTTCACTAAAAGTATTCTAGGCTCTCAAGATGCTCAACTAAAAATGTTTGTTAAATATATATATATATATATATATATATATATATATATATATATATATATATATATATATATATATATATATATATATATATATATATATATATATATAAATTTAACAAACATTTTTAGTTGAGCATCTTGAGAGCCTAGAATATTTTTAGTGAACATATTTCCTTTCTCTCAAAATTTATGATGACTTTTTATATATATATATATGATATATATATGTTTTTTTTTATATTATTATTAAAGAATAGTTTTTTAATTAAGAGATCAATATTTAAAACAAATATATATTTTATGTATACCTTGTTATGAACTATACACATATATCTACAAAATTTGATAAACTTAAGACTAATTATATTTAAAAACAATACAAATTCAATCATACCATCTTGCTTTGATTTATGCTTAAGAAAACGTTAGAAATTTTTAGCGTAATTGGCACTCCATGCGTGTAATTGGCTTATTAACACTATTATGTTATAAATAAAAGCAATACTGTATGAACATACAAAGTATATAAATATATATATACATAAATATATATATATATATATATATATATATATATATATATATATATATATATATATATATTTATATATATAAAATAACATCAAATAATATAAATTCTCTTAATACAAATGATAATTTATTATTAAAAATTTACGCTAAATGATGGTTACCAGCATCATCAGCACTTAAAATTACACACACATACACACAAAACTATTTTAATTTTTTTTTTGTGTGTATGTAATTTTAAGCTGATGATGCTGGTAACCATAATCCAGCGAAAATTTCTAATTATAAATTATTAATTGTTTTAAGAGAATTCGTACTATTAGACTAATATAACATACATTCTTATACAGGATGTGAACACTAAAGATACTGCCGACTGCTTTCTTAAAAAACAATTACAGCAAAAATTAGGTCTTCAAAACTAAAAATCTGCAAACTGAATTGTGTCAAATGCCAACTAGCCGATTATATTCCTGAAAAAGCCACTTCCACGCAATAAATATACATAGGGTAGGATAGGGATAAGTAGGACGTTAAAAAATATTTTTACAATAATTTTAATATCTTTTATATAATTCATGTAGTGTACCTTGCAAACGTTAATAAATAAGGCATCATTTAGGGCACTGATTCCATTCCTAAAGATTGACAATAGATTATAAAAAAATACATATTTTTATATTTGAGAGACACCGTGTTATGGAGAAATTTCCTATGTTTCCCGTTGCACTTGATGTTAGAGGGTACGATAGGATTTAGTTATTTATACGGTATTGTGGTTCATCCTCATCTAAGTAATTGCCATATAAAGAAAACATAAACGTGGTATACCACATGTGTGTGATACACGCACATACAACACGCCCGCAAAAAGCAGATTAAGTTCTCTACAGAGCGTCATTATCCACCACCACAAACAAAGAGTAAGTGAGTTTGTGAAGAAAGTAAAATAAGTAAAAAGCAAGAAGAAAACAAGCATGAAAAAAGCGGACATTGCACTTGATGTTAGATTATGCGATTAGGGTATTACCATTTGACTGCGAATATATTATTTAAAAACATCAACCTTTTTATTTACAATTTACATCCAAAACATATTATATTAATACTTTTAAACAACCCGTAATTGCAATAGCGTAATTTTCCCAAACCTTTCTGAAGACCACATTATTACAAATACTTTTGATGATAATATTAAAACACAAGCGCTAATTGCTTCGTAGCAGTTTAGAAGACGTCATTCACAACAGGGTAAAGTGAAGTGGGGCAAGTAAATAATTAACAACTATTATTTAAAAACTAATAAAATCATACACCACGTAAATTCATCAAAATATTACAGAGGTTTACACAATATAATTCTACAAAAGTGATACGGAAGAAATATAATATCAACTAATTTTTTTTTTCCCAATTTACTCCCTCTAACGTTTACGTAGGACGGTGTTTTTTATTTATTTTAGGAAAAAAAATTAGGAAAAAAAACAGTTTATATGGCAATATATATCTATATCTATATATATATATATATATATATATATATATATATATATATATATATATATATATATATATATATATATATATATATATATATATATATATATATATATATATATATATATATATATATATATATATATATATATATATATATGTATATATATATATATATATATATATATATATATATATATATATATATATATATATATATATATATATATATATATATATTAAACTAAATAATTTAAAGATCTTTTTTTGTAGCGTTCTGTGAAATCTTTTGTCAGTTCCTCATGAACTACCTGAATTAAAAATACATAAATATATTAAAAATACTAATAAATTACAAATACATAAATTCATAAACTAATATTAATAACATTATATTCTGAGTTAAATGACAAAACACCTAGATAGTATCTGAAAATAGTGGAGAGAAGCTAAAAACCAATTTTGAATGCCGTTAAATCATTTGAGGATGTTTAAGAAACATCAAAACTTTTCAGAAAGAAGGGTCCATGAAAAAATACAATGTAGTAGGTTGCAGTTTTTAGATAGGTAGTACATTTGAGTCATCTGAATAACTAGAAAGTAGATACAGTCACCTATAAAAACTTGCTTCATGATGAGCTCCAGGCTGTTTTAATGAGAACTTTGATAACTCAGCTCCCAGAAAAAATGCTAGAATTTCACAAAAGTACCTGTAATCACCTCACTGAAAAGTATCCTTATGAAGAGCTGTGATACAGAATTCTCAGTATGCTAAGAAATTTTGAACCGTGATGAGCCAGGCCTGAATAGCAACTTGAGACCAGTCAAGCTTTACGGTTCTCCTAAGTTTGCTTATATCTTTGTAAATCTCCCGCCATATTATTTGGACAATAACATAAAGCTTCTTGCTGGTACCACTTGTTAGGCAGAAAATTTATTTCATCGCATGAGCCACGTGCCTTTTATGAATTTAATACCTTTAGATTAACCAGAGAACCAGTTTATATATGACACATGAAATATTATTGCTTACGGCACCTTTATTTTTGCCAGTGTTACTGGATGTTTCGTCAGAACACAATCCAATAATCTGATCCAACATCTCATAGTATTCGAGATTTGTTTAAGTTGCATTGGCTTGATCACTTTCTTGTAGTTTATTCAAAATATGGTCATAATTG